GATATTCCATTCTATTCTATTCCATTTTCAGTGGCGCCGCAACGGAAAATTGAGCCACAGTCCCTCAGTAGTTCAGTTTTCCCAACTTTTGCCATCAACCGCATCGTGAAATAAGCCAGACATGGTTTTTTTGCGAGCCGCAGACGGTGAACATCTCGTTGTTGAATTCCAGATGAATCTCTTATTATACAACACAAATGAAGAGTGCAGAGCGCCCCCTGTCTTTCTCCACCTGAAATAATACACTGATAAATCTCTCCTCTGATAATCATTGATTTTTGCTGGCACCGCAGTCACCATGGCAACATTTACGTATCTTCATGCCGCCGTCGGCTGCTGTGAGGTGCAGAATGACCTCTTTTTTTCAACGCAAACGTGAACGCAGCATAACACAGCAGCAGATGAACTGCAGAGGGGTTTCTGATAAAGTGGCCGGGGAGGGTTGTTTTGACCGTGTGCTGGATTTGCACTAATCTTTGTCTGTGTGTCTGTGGTCAGTTTCAGAGAGTGGTCCACCTGGCTGGTCAGAAGGCATGGCGGGTGGGGGATTTATTCGGTTTGGTGGTTCAGTTCTGTCAGCTTCAGCAGGACGAGCAGGAAGCAGGCGGAGCAGCTCCGGGTCTGTTCGACTGGCTCCTGAAGACGCAGCGCTAAAACACACATTCACTCAAACTGGCCACTGACAGACCAGTCAGCAGGACTCTAAACCTCCACTGACCCCTTCAGGTGTGGAGTTCAGCACAGTTCGGGTGATCTTCCTGCTCAAACACACCTGAGTCCACTCATCAGTTCATTACCAGGTGTAATAATCAGTTAATTACCAGGTTTAATAATCTGTCAATTACCATGTATAATAATCAGTTCATTGTCAGGTTTAATAATTAGTTAATTGCCATGTTTAAAACATGATTAATTACCAGGTTTAATAATCAGTTAATTACTAGGTTTAATAATCAGTTTATTACTAGATTTAATAATGGGTCAATTACCAGGTCTAATAATCAGTTAATTACCTGGTTTAATAACGGCTTAATTACCAGATGTAATAACTGATTAATTACCTTGTTTAATAACTGATTAATTTCCAGGTTTTATAATCAATAATCAGTTAATTGCCAGGTTTAGTAATTGATTAGGTTTAATTACTGGTTCATTGTGTGTGTGTGTGTGTGTGTGTGTGTGTGTGTGTGTGTGTGTGTGTGTGTCAGAGCGTGTTCAGACGGCCCTCTTCAGCTCATAAAATCTGTTTATGAACAAAGTGAAGTGCAAATGTGACAAATGACCACCTTAGAGGGGTCACTGTACCACAGTGAGAGGCGACAGTAACAAAAAGAAAATCATAATAATAATAATTTTTTGTAACAGAAAAAAGAGGAAGATATGAAGATATCGATATCGAATCAAAAGTATCGTATTGGTATCAAGATCGGTATCGAACATTTTCAAATGATACGCAGCCCTAGCTGTGAGATGCGTCCAGCGTACAGTGGTCTTCAAGAATACACAAAAAGCTGTGGTACATTTTACCCTCTCACAGGGGAGCTGGAGCCTATCCCAGCGGTCACTGGGCAAAAGACAGGAAACACCCTGGACAGGTCGCCAGTCCATCACAGGGCAGAAACACAGATACATACATTCACACACACCTGGGAGCAATTTAGCATCTCCAGTTAGCCTGACTGCATGTCTTTGGGAGGAAACCCAGACAGACACAGGGAGAACATGAAAACTCCACACAGAGAGGACCCTGGTCACCTGGCCGGGGATTCGAACCCAGGTCCTTCTCGCTGAGAGAGTGTGCCTGAGTTTATTACTACTGTTTACAATTTTCAGACGTTTGAGTAAAGCGCGGTGTTTACGGGTCAGTGAGGGCCGTCCGAACGCTCCGATACAGCAGGGAGATCACCAAACTGAGGCTCCGCCTCCTGCATATCAACACTAATACACTTCACTACTGACCACTGTGTGTCAGTCAGCTCAACACTGACCACACCCTTCAGAACACACAGACGCTGACCCTGGATCTGCTTGCCTGCTTGGTTTAATTCCAACAAACCCACATGACCAAGATCATCACCCAGGGAGGCAGGGAGGTGTTTAAGTTGGCGGGGCTGAAATTTTAAGCAGTGTTTGTTTTGATTTTTCATTAGATTTTTTTTTTATAATTAACATCAAACAGAGCGTCATAACGTGGCGAGAGACGACACGACCCTCGTAACTGACGCACTAAATTCACACATTCACAACGGTTTCTATATTCTCTCCTTTTAGACAAACTTTATGCAAATGAGTTGAGTGACGTCCAATCAGATTGTTGATGTGTGCCGTAGTAACTGATTGTGTTGCTCCCACAGTCACACACTCGAACCCACACCAGCAGAAGATAGAACAGTTAATATTGACAATATTAGCGCTTTTGGGCTCAGAAATGTCCTACAGCTTTTTATGTGTGTGACGCACCCCCAAAAGCCGCCAGCAGGGGGCGAGAGAAGTGATTCGGCTCACTGTAAAACATCGTTAAGGTAAAGTGTGCAGCTACTGCAGGTTATTAAAATATATAAATAAAGCATAGAAAGTCTACTTTACAACAAGCAGATACAGATCAATCAAATTGGTTTAAAGTTTTGATAATTTTTTTAAATTATTATTTTTAGCAGTTGCACCAAACCAACCCTGAGCACCCCCAACTCCCACAGCCCTGTTATCACAGCTTTGGACGTAACGGCTGCAAAAGTAACGGCTATTTCTACAATTGCACTGCAAAAATGATATCTTAGCAAGTGAAATCGTAAAATCTAGTCATTATATATAATATTTCTGATTTTGAAATTGCTGTAAAGATATTATTTGAATATTCACCGTATTTATACTTTAAATTAGTTTTGTCTGCTGCTCCTGGCTTATTCAGATCATTTTAATTGTTTCAAGAAATAAGTAATGTGACATTTTAGATAATATTATGTAAAACAAGTAAAAATGTCTATAAATGAGTCTTATATTTTTACCGCATCTCATTATGAGAAATATTAGTTGTACAACAAGATTTAAGATGATTTCACTTGCTAAGAAATAATTTTTTTGCCACATTAATACGGTCATCTATTAATTAATCGTAGGGTTAGGACTACTCATCAATTTATCAATAAGGATCAACAGCCATGAAACATTTTTTTCTTTCCATGTAAATGAATGTGCGTTCCGAGTCATGAGCCATGATCTGAAACTCCAGTCCTGGTTTTACTTCATACACACACAGCAGTTAGCTGCGCTGTGAGCGCACGGCTGCTGTTTTTTTCTCTCCTAACTTTAGTTTAATGTTTTTGGTCTTTTCACAGCGCGTCATTTTACAGACGAAAATATGAGATACGATTTTTAATTTGATGAAATTTTTGCTCGTAACAGCAACTTGATCTTTTTGTCTGTAAAACTCAGACTTTTTGTGAAAAGGCCCTGGAATCTGTCGCCCCCCTCTGGCACAAATGGAAACTGTCTTTTATAAACTGAATGTTACTGTAAAATACCGTATTTTAAAGCAGCACTGTGTGTTAGAACTGAATGAAGTGTCGTTACTGAGTGAGGAGAATATAGAGAATATACAGGCTGTAATATGCTGATCTGCTGCTGAGAGTCGCCTGTAAAACCTGAAATAATCATTTAAACTCAGAGGCGTCGAGTTTTTCACACCACGTCGTACGTCTTTACGTATTAACATCACAGACTCAGAAAGAAGGTCCGGCTCGATGTTTCGGCCTCAAATGATCTCAGAATCAACATCACACTGATGAAGATGTGATGACAGTAGTAGATAATTCACTCTCATCCTCAGAGACGCTGCTTCACCCAGTTTACACTGAGATCTCTCTGAGTTCTCTAATCATCAGATTCATCCGCTCGGGGAAGGGGGGCTGAAGCACGACCCACACTACAGAACATTCTTCCACACGCTAATGAATATTACAGCCAGCTACACCAGCTGTCAAAGCTTTGAGGACACTGTGCCTTCTTTTAAAATCTTTCCTCTTGTTAGTTTTCAGTTACCTTACCTTTAAACAGGTGTGTGTCCCCAAAACTTCTGACGGGCAGTCTGTGTCAGATTAGGGTTGGAACTGAACTCTGCTGGACAGTAGATTCTAGATTCAGTGAACACTGCCTGTGAACCGGACCTTAATGTCTGTTTCACTCTGTACTTCAGCACCATCCAACCATACCTGCACACACCTGTTTACACCTGTATACACCTGTACACACCGCTGTGCACTCGCATACATTAGTACAAGCCTGTATACACCTGTCTACACCTGTACACAACTGTATAACCTCTCTACACACTAGTATGTATACTAGTGCTGTATACTCCTGTACACATCTGTATACACCTGTCTGTAACTTTACATGCTTGTACACCCCTGTAAACACTTGATACACATGTACATGCCTCTATAGAACAGTATAAACCTGTACACACCTACAGACAACTGTATACACCTGTCTACAACTTTACATGCCTGTGTACACCTGTAAACTGCTGTATACAAGTGTACGTGCCTCTATACACCTGTATACACACACACACTCGTGTACACCTGTACACTCCTGTATACATCTGTAAACGGCTATATAGACTCCAGTATACACCTGTACGCACTCATATCCTGTCTGAGCTCACACCTCAACTGAAACGTGACTGGAGGACCTTTTCCCTTTAATGAGCCGCATGTTCCAGCGTTTTTATGCACGGCCAATCAAACCTGCATACAAAACCAGACAACCAATCAGCTGCTTCGACAGGAGGGACATTTACAGCCATTTAGCCTTGACATTTTGTAGCCTGAAGATTTCTATAGCATATAAAACATATTTCAGATGCACCGGGTGAGTTTTTATTAACAGAAACAGGTCTGACAGCTGTTGTACACGAATACGAGGTTATCGCTAAATATGATGGCTTATATGTGTTTATAATGATTGAGTAAAAAACACACCCGATCCACACGGCACAGAGAGAAGTATTTAGCTAACGTTTACTTTTGCAAACACGTCCACTTGTTTCTATTGTACCTTTGAAACTGAATTCTGTGTTTAAAGTTTCTGTGTGAAAATAAAGACGATTTAAAAGGCTTTATTTTGGTTAGATGTACATAGTCTAGATTTTGAGCTCTGGCACCTTTCGGGCTGCGAGTGGAAGCCCCTGATTTCTGGTTTTAGCACTAGCAGAGAGATCTACAGTACAACCTGCGAGACTACAGGTAGCGTTTGGTTAGTGTGTGTTACGGTATGAAGTGCAGTTTTCGTCATGTAAATCTGTTCCTGTGAACTCTGGTGTGTAAAGGTTTCCTCTGCATAGTCACGTAATAATAGTAAGTGTTTTAATATCAGCGTTGAAAGCACAACCGTCCAATCTGTGACTGTATAACTGAATGTATTTATCTTTTCAAAAACCAATAAAAAATTTACGTCAGCTGATTCTGTTGTGAATCTTTATTTATTTGAGGAGTGGATGGACATATTTTATAATCCACATCATCACTGTCCAAAGAAAAGCATCTCCAAGTATCTCCAAAATAGCCACTTTACAGGAGACGCTGAAAACGTCATAAATTTTAATGTAAGTTAATGTAAAGATTTTAGAGTATTTCTACTGATCCAAGGCAGCTTTACAGACTTTACAGAAGTAGAAAAATAAAAAGTGAAATGGAGAGTTTTTATTAAGACGATATACTGAATCATTTCCAGCAGAATTGATATTTCTAGGCTCCGTCCACAGATGTGTAATGATGGAAATCTGATTTTTGGTTGGACTATCACTTTAAAGAAACAGTCAAGCAGAAACAGCTTGTAGATGCAGCACAGGAGGCAGCAGACAGCAGATGCTGAGCTAGACTCAAAAAGAGGGTTCTTCAAGGGTTCTTCAGTAAAGTGAATGGTTCCATTTAGAACCATCTGCATGCTTAAATGGTTCTGTGCATGGTGAAATGGTTCTTCAGACTGATGGAGAATGTGGTGTACATGTTTGGGCTATTGTTACAACATCAAGCTTGTAACTATAGCCGAACCCTAGTTGGTGCTAGATAGAACCATTTTCAAAAAGGTTCTACACAGAACCATGTACTACACATTTTCCATCAATCTGAAGAATGATTTCAACATGTAGAGAACCGCTTAAGCATGCAAATAGTTCTGTATGGAACTCATGGTTCTATTGGTAATGGTAGAACAACGGTAGTGCTGTAATTTTAATGGTTTGGGGACTTTTTAAAACTTTTTACTATTAAATTTACTATTATAATTATTATTACTTTTTTAGCATTTGATTTGTTTTACTAACCATTTTTTAATCCCTCACTGCAAAAAAATGGCATCTTGTCAAATGAAATTATCTTTCTAGCTAATATTTCTCATTTTGAGATGGTTGTGCACTTCTAAAATTATCTAGCTTAATTCTGGACACTTTTCACTTGTTTTGAGTAATCTGTACTGGCAGATGATTTTGCTAGTGTCAAGCTCATTTCTTGCAACAAGCACAATTATCTGCCACTATAGTGAGATCATTTCACAATAAAATCACTGAAGTAAATAATGTCTATAAATAAGGTAAACAATCTTAAATTAAGCTACAACAATCTCAACAGGAGAAATATTTTCTGACCATATTTAAGATTATTTTACTTGACAAGATTCCATTTTTTGCAGTTGCAGTGCTGTTTTCTGTATTGGCTCGGCTACATTGTAAATGAGGGTCAGTGTACTCTGAGTTTTAATAAAGGTTGATTAATTGATTAAAATAGAACCATTCCCTTTACTAAAGAACCCTTGAAGAACCATCTTTTTGAAGAGTGTACCGTAAAAGAGCAGCACAGAGACTGAATCTAGACACATTTCTGCTCCACACGTCTTCAGCACAGAGATCAGGATGTGTTTAACACTGAGACGTTCCTCAAAATCCTGCAGGTTCCAGCAGAAACACACACGTTCCCCTCAGCGCCAGATCCTGCAGGTGTTGTCCTTACTGCCTGCAGAGAGAAGAACCAGAAGAATGATGCAAATGATTTAATAACCTCAGAGAGAGTGTGTGTGTGTGTGTGTGTGTGTGTGTGTGTGTGTGTGGGAGTGTTTGGGGTGTGTGTGTGTGTGTGTGTGTGTGTGTGTGTGTGGGGCGGGGGGGTTGGGGGGGGCGGAGTGTGGGTAATTGCCTGTGATGATGGCGTCTCCTTCATAGTTGAAGGCGCAGGAGAAGATCTCGTCAGTGTGTCCTTCCAGCACCTGCAGGCAGGATCCGGAGCTCACACTCCACACGCGCGCCGTCTTATCCGCGCTGGCCGTCAACACACACGTCCCCTGGGGGTTAAAACACACCTGACACAGACAGAGAGAGAGAGAGAGAGAGAGAGAGAGAGACGGGACTCAAAGGGGCAGTTCAGGAAAAATAAAATTTACCACAAATGTAGTCGATCATCCAGGACGTGTTTGGTGTGTGAAGTTTTCTTCTTTATATCAGTTTGACAGGTACAGAGACACCGAGAGCTGAGACAGAGCCGACCTCAGCGTCACCTCGGCCTGACTTCAGCCTGACCTCTGTCACAGCCACACTGCACTGTATATATATCTGCAGTGACGGAGAGTTCTTTAACTGGACGCTTTATTATTATACTGAAGAACAGGATTACAGTGAGGACTGAGTTACAATGGAAATACTAGAGAGAGAGGAAGAGGGAAAAAGGGGGACGAGAGAGAACAAGGAAAGTGAGAGAAAAATAAGAGCTGCAGAGGAGTAAAGAAAAGAGAGAGAGAGAGAGAAAGGGGAAGAAAGAAAGAAAGAAAGAAAGAAAGGGAAGATTAAAGAAAAGAGGAAGGGAGCAAAGAAGGAGAGAGCAAAAAGAAGGAGCGAGAGGAAAGAAGGAGAAAAAATAGCAAGAGATGGAGAGAGAAGAAGAAAGCAAAAAGAGGGAAGGAGAAAAAAGCAGAGAGGCAGAGAAAGAAGAAAGACTAAAGTGATAGAGAGATGGAAGAGGAAGAAAGCGCAAAGTGAGAAAGAGGAAAGAAGAAGAAAGAGCAAAGAGAAAGAGAAGAAGATAGAGCTAAGAAAGGGAGAGATAGGGAAGAAGAGGTGGAGAGGAGGAGGTGAGAGATTAAAGAAAAAAGGCAGCTGACATTTGAAGTGTAAAAATCAAGTTGAAGAGAAAAAAATGTGATGACGTTGTCATGACGACAGGAGTGAGAACGAGTCGGAGGTGTCAGAGAGGAGTGAGTGAAGGATTGGCAGAGTAAGAGAAAGAGAGAGAGAAGGACAGACAGGTAGAGATAAACAGGAAGTGAGTGAGGGACAGACAGGAGTGACAGGGAATGAGTGCCTGCAGAAAGAACGAGAGAGAGAGAGAGAGAGAGAGAGAGAGAGAGAGAGAGAGAGAGATGATAAAAGATGAGAAAAATACAGAGTGACAGCTGTGTGTGTGTGTGTGTGTGTGTGTGTGTGTGTGTGTGTGTGTGTGTGTACTTACCTTAGAGATCTCTCCTTCATGGCCCTCCAGTTTACACACACACTCGTATGTCTGCGCGTTAAACACCCGTGATGTACCTAAACACACACACACATTAACATATACATACATAAGTACCTGTATGTAACAGTAATAAGTAGTAATAATATGTTTTACAAATAAAACCTCAGATCGTTTTCAATGTTTTGCATAATTTAAAAAAGACAGCTGCCCTTTATGTCGTGTCAAAATATCACCATGAACTGACCGACAGAAAGGGTCCAAAACTACTTCGAAAAAAATATTTCTCCATTCACTTCCATTAGAAGTTAAGAATGTTTCTCCTTCTCCTGTGAAGTTTCCTTTTTGGAGATATGATGTTTTGTTCCAACAGCAGCGATATGTATCTATATATAATACGTTTCTATATATAATTTCATAAAATCAGTCTTTTTCTAATCCTAAACCTTAACCACAGGAACGGAAAAGAAATGGTTTCACTCTTTCAGTTGAAACATTAGTAAAGAAGCCCTTTCTAAATCTGTGTCGTTCCTGCAGGTCAGTGCTGTGTTTCTCTGTGTCATTCCTGCAGTTCAGTGCTGTGTTTTTTTGTGTTGTTCCTGCAGGTCAGTGCTGTGTTTCTCTGTGCTGTTCCTGCAGTTCAGTGCTGTGTTTTTTTGTGTTGTTCCTGCAGGTCAGTGTTGTGTTTCTCTGTGTTCTTTCTACAGGTCAGTGCTGTGTTTCTCTGTGTTGTTCCTGCAGGTCAGTGCTGTGTTTCTCTGTGCTGTTCCTGCAGGTCGGTGCTGTGTTTCTCTGTGTCGTTCCTGCAGGTCAGTGCTGTGTTTCTCTGTGTCGTTCCTGCAGGTCAGTGCTGTGTTTCTCTGTGTCGTTCCTGCAGGTCAGTGCTGTGTTTCTCTGTGTTGCTCCTGCAGGTCAGTGCTGTGTTTCTGTGTTGTTCCTGCAGGTCAGTGCTGTGTTTCTCTGTGCTGTTCCTGCAGGTCAGTGCTGTGTTTCTCTGTGTCGTTTCTGTAGGTCAGTGCTGTGTTTCTCTGTGTTGTGTCTGCAGGTCAGTGCTGTGTTTCTCTGTGTCTTTCCTGCAGGTCAGTGCTGTGTTTCTCTGTGTTGTTCCTGCAGGTCAGTGCTGTGTTTCTCTGTGTTCTTCCCGCAGGTCAGTGCTGTGTTTCTCTGTGTTGTTTCTGTAGGTCAGTGTTGTGTTTCTCTGTGTTCTTCCTGCAGGTCGGTGCTGTGTTTCTCTGTGTCGTTCCTGCAGGTCAGTGTTGTGTTTCTCTGTGTTCTTCCTGCAGGTCAGTGCTGTGTTTCTCTGTGTTCTTCCTGCAGGTCAGTGCTGTGTTTCTCTGTGTTCTTCCTGCAGGTCAGTGCTGTGTTTTCTCTGTGTTCTCCTGCAGGTCAGTGCTGTGTTTCTCTGGGTTGTTCCTGCAGGTCAGTGCTGTGTTTCTCTGTGTTCTTCCTGCAGGTCAGTGCTGTGTTTCTCTGGGTTGTTCCTGCAGGTCAGTGCTGTGTTTCTCTGTGTTCTTCCTGCAGGTCAGTGCTGTGTTTCTCTGTGTTGTTCCTGCAGGTCAGTGCTGTGTTTCTCTGTGTTGCTCCTGCAGGTCAGTGCTGTGTTTCTCTGTGTTGTTCCTGCAGGTCAGTGCTGTGTTTCTCTGTGTTGTTCCTACAGGTCAGTGCTGTGTTTCTCTGGTTTAACTGCAGGTTTTTCAGGACATTTTTATAAACTAATACACACAGACTCACAGACACTGTGTGAGAGCAGCAGCTATATCGGGAGCAGCACAAGCAAAGACAGCAGCAGAGAGAAACTGCCCCAAAGGCCCAAACAGCAGGAGAGAGAGAGATAGTTAGAGAGAGAGAGAGAGAGAGAGAGAGAGACATTCAGGGGAAAGGACAAACGACACAGTGGAGAGATAGAGAGAAAACAGAACCATGGGGAGAATAAGACAGCAGAGGAGTTGAAGGGTGGAATGATGGATCAAGGAGAGAGGCAGAGAGGGACAGTTCAGAAAGAGAGAAAGGAGTGTGTAGGATCAGTGGAGGTTTGAGGTAGGAGGTCAAAAAAGTGATTCTGAAGATGGTGACGAAGACTGTGATGATGATGGTGAGGATGACTGATAATGATAGTGACACGTGATGATGGTGATGAGCTGATAATGATGGTGATAATGACTGTGATAATGATGGTGACAATGACTGTGATAATGATAGTGACAATGACTGTGATAATGATGGTGACAATGACTGTGATAATGATGGTGACGATGGCATAACAATGGTGACGATTGTGATAATGATAGTGACAATGACTGTGATAATGATGGTGATGAAGACTGATAATGATGGTGATAATGACTGTGATAATGATGGTGACAATGACTGTGATAATGATAGTGACAATGACTGTGATAATGATGGTGATGATGACATAACAATGGTGACGATTGTGATAATGATGGTGACGATGACTGTGATAATGATGGTGATAATGACTGTGATAATGATGGTGACAATGACTGTGATAATGATAGTGACAATGACTGTGATAATGATGGTGACAATGACTGTGATAATGATGGTGACGATGACATAATAATGGTGACGATTGTGATAATGATGGTGACGATGACTATGATAATGATGGTGACGATGACTGATAATAAATGTGTTTTTGGTGATGACTGTCATGATGGTGATGATGACTGATAATGATAATGTTCATAGTGATGACTGTGATAATGATGGTGTTTATGGCAATGATGACTGATAATGATGGTGACAGTGACTGTAATAATGATGGTGACAATGACTGTGATAATGATGTTTATGGTGATGATGACTGTGATAATGATGGTGACAATGAATGTGATAATAAATGTGTTTATGTGATAATGGTGTTTATGGTGATGACTGATAATGACAGTGTTTATGGTGATGATGGCTGTAATGGTGACAATGATTGTGATAATGATGGCGTTTATGGTGCTGAAGACTGATAATGATGGTGATGATTGTGATAATGATTGTGATGATGAGTGTGATGATGATGGTGTTTATGGTGATGATGGCTGTGATAATGATGGTGACAATGAATGTGATAATAAATGTGTTTATGGTGATGATGACTGTAATAATGATGGTGACCATGAATGTGGAACTGAACTTGTGAAATTGTGATGATACTGGTGATGATAACTGATGACTGTGGTGATAAAGGTAATTAATGTGATGTTTGTGATGACTCATGGGAATGTTGAATAAGGTGATGATGACTGATGATAATGGTGAATATCATGATAGTGACTGTGATGATGTGTGATTACTGCAAAACTAATGACTCATAATGGCGATAATGTAGACTCTTATAACAATGGTGAATACAGTGATGATGACTGTGATGATGACTGATGATAATAGATGGGGACTGTTATGACGATGATGGTGATTATGGACTTGATGATGATAATGATTACTGTTATAATAATGACGGTGATAATATTGATGAAGGTCACTGTAATAGGTAGGAAGCTGCTCTCACCATCTGCTGAAGCCGTAGCGATGAGTTGACCAGTGTAGTTAAAGCAAACATCCAGCACTTCATCATCATGACCAACAAGAGTAGCTAAACACTGACCACCATCAGCGTCCCACACCTACACACACACACACACACCACACACACCACAAAGAGAGAAAAACAGTCTGTAATGCCAACACACACTCATAATTCCCCCTCGCTGTTCAGTCAGTCCATTAAACAATGCACAGCTCACAGAAGAAACATAAATCATCTTTTATGAAGGAGTGAAGTAAATAGCTTTGTTTCAGTTTGTTCTCCTTTGAGGAACATCACTGTCTGCAGAATAATTAAGACCATGAGTCATTCAGGACAATCAGAGGGTGAGCGACAGAGAGAAAGTTTTCTATTCTAGCAAAACAACTTTTCTGTTGAAAAGAAAAGAAAATATAGCTGCAAACGGCAATCTGCAGGGTCCAAGCACCAGGAAGACATCGGGGAGTAAAGTAGTTGCCCTTGGTCGTAGAATGCAGCAGATCTTTAAGAAAGTTCTCCTTTCCCTATGATCAAGACCACTAGGTGAAACATCTGCTACAATCTACGCAACTAATTTTAACATCCATGACAGGGATTCAAACCCACGACCCTAGAGTTCAAAGGTGGAAGCTCTCATGGTGCACCACAAGACATCTGTGGTGCAACTGCAGTCTTTGAAACAATTTATTGAAAGCCGTAGCAACAAGGAACCACACACCATTTTTGGACAGTAGCAGCATAAACAAATTTCATGTCTCTGGACATAGAAGGCAGCAAATCGTTGGATTTTTAAGAAAGACCTTTCATTGAGATAATTAAGTGTATGTTCACAACAACTGCTACAGCACCATCCAACATCTGTGACAGTGAATCAAACCCACGACCTTAATCTTCAAAGGCGGATGTTTTCAAGGTGAGCTAAAGAGGCCCACAACAGACCTGTTTTTTTTGAGAGAATTTATTGGTACGGAGCAATAAGGAACCAAGCACCATTTTGGGAATTAGTTCCCACCTTGCAATTACTGTGACTATTGAGTAGTATAATTTCAAATGAAATCATAATACACTGTCAGTTTGTCATTTTGTATATTTGTGTCAAATTTGGTTATATTCAGACAATTATTGGTGTATTTTAGTCTTTTATGGCAGAATAAGCCAATTCACACCAATTTATTCAAATCTTCAGCCACACTGTGCTTAAGTCATGGTATTTTCAATATGATTGTGTAAAGAAAATTTTAATTTGATTTAAACTCAATAATTAGTAAGAAATGTCTATTCTCCATCTTTTCTCAACCGTGATATTACTGAAAGTTTTTTAAGACTTGCATTTGCAAAATTGTTAGGCTTAGTGGAAAACAAAACATTCAGATATGCTCTTCACTTAAAGACATACAGTAAAGCTTTCCATGTATATGTCAACAATGACATGTGCAGTTACTGATTTGGCTCCCTCTGGTGGCCAGAGAAAAATTGTTGCTCTGACCAAAATTTGCTGAAATCAAATAATAGGATTTCCTGTACAGTACAACCTACAAATATTTGCAAAGTGACAATTCTCATTAAGATGCATAATTTGAAACGATTGTTATGTATGTTTTTATTGTTTTTATTCTTAGACAGGAATAATTACATTTTTGAGAGCTAATTACATTGTAACAGCTAACATAGGCAGAATCAAGCCAAATGTCATATGTTTCCTCAACTTATTATTATTAATATACAAATCAATTCTGGTCACAATCAGAGCATAACTGACAAATTTGTGGTCCCCTGATCTAGAATAGGCCAGACCGTACTTATTTTTCTATAACTTGCAATAATATTGTGTTTATAAGGCAAGATTTTTTAAATAACTGTGAATCTTGAGACTTCGACGGTTGTTTTGAAACCAAGTTTAAGATGATGCAAAAACATTTCAGCAAGCTGTATGAAAACACCAGTTTTCAACTCTGATGACTTACGGAAAAACAATATAGTTTTTTAAAGACTTGTATATGCAAAATTGCCTGGCTTGGTGGAATACACAAAATTCAGAAAGTTCCTTTGCCACAAGATAGATGTTGCCAAGACTATGACCATAAGTATATTTGAAGTCATAATTTGCATTCAATGCTGATGCTCCCTCTGGTGGTCAGAGAAAATATTGCCATTAATGATTTTGTGGCCAACCTGGGTTTAAGTCAAATTTCCACATTTCCTGTGCAATTTTGAAAGATACATATAATTGCAATGTTTTAGATGTGAATGAGATGTGTAATTTGGAACCATTATCTTTTCTTTATTTCAATCATAGAAGAATATAATAACATTTTAATAATTATACACTAGATTAAGTATTGCAAGGGCTTATGACAATCAATTTAAATGAAACTTTGCATGTTTCCTCAGAAAATGATAATGTACATGTTTACCAAGATTTATCACATAATCACATATAAACTAAAGAGTCTGTAGCCCCCTAAGTCAGAAAAGGCCAGGCCGAACAGATTCATTGGTGTCTTATGGCTGTTCTTTGCAATAAAGTCAAGGTTTTTTAGATAATTATTTACCTACAGACTCCACAAATTGTTTTAAGACCAAAATTGAAACAGTTGTCTTAAAATGCACAGACTAGTTCGAAAAGCTCAATTTTCAAAATTGATCAATCAAAGAAAAACTTTACAGAATTTTAAAAGACTTGTATTTGATAAAATGTCATTCTCAGTGTAAGCAATGAAATGAATTGATTTATTTTGATCTATGATAAAGTTTATAGGACTTATTCTTGTTTATGCTCTATAGCGCCACCTCATGGCCAATTGAGGTAAAACTTTATAGGCTATTAGAGATTGCCTATGCGGAAACATAATTTTTGTGATGATTGGCCAATTCTAAGCCCTCCAAATGCCTGTTAAAAGCTTATTGGCCAATGGCGGCCATATTTGTCCAATGATTCAGTTGTCCTTAAAAGATCATGTACATATTAGGCCATGGATACAGCATGCAAAATTTCAGCTCAATTGGCCTAGCGGTTGCTGAGAAACAGATTTTTGGTTGTTATAGAGCCCCCTATTGAGTAATTGGTATCAAACTTGGTGGGCTTCCACAGAATCATGTGGGGTACATGACTGATAAGTTTAATGTTAAATGGCCAAAGCAATCTCTATCTGTAGCCATTTATGTGAATTAAGCCAAACCCAGAGGGGCTCAATTGGCACATGGAAGCCATACTGTTTATAAATATTCAAATTGTTTTGATAATTCTTGACCTCCAGACTCCCCTGAACATTTAAGACCAATATCGTGTTGATATCTTGAAAAACCTCAGACTAGTAGAAAAATGTAGATGTCACATATTTTGCCAATTATGATAGAAAATATGGGGGCGGAGCTAAATACATGCAGCAGAGCGTTTATGTAGAATAAAGCAAGGATTATGTAAAAGCAAGAATTTTGAGTGTAGCCCCCACGGTTCAGGAAATAAGGGCAAAAACGCAAAATGTTGATCTATAGCGCTACCATCAGGCCAACTGGGGTCATTTCAGTTGCCTGAGTAGTGGGGGGGATTCTACACCTACCCTCTAAGTTTGGTCTTTGGTGGACTTACGGTGTCCTCTCCACAAACCGTTTTAGGAAAGAAAAGAATAGGAACAAGAAGAAGCAGAAGAAAAAAAAATCCTAGCAAAAGCAATAGGGTTCCATGCACCTAAAGGTGCTTGGACCCCTAATGATATGAAGCAGAGATGAATAGCTGATCAGAGAGTGCAGTGCACATATATCAGAAGTTTGGGGACATCTAGCCTTTAAGAATGATTAAGCCAAGAGCACTCAAACCTTGCAGATGTTTAAAGCACCTTTGGACCAAAAGAGTTTCATTATGAGCTTTAAACAGTAGATTAGAAAAGAAACCTGTGAAATCATTATTTAAAACCTGCTCTTTATACCAGGAAGACACTCTGATGAACATGAAGTGCTGAAGATATTCAATGTTCACAATTCAAAGCTTTTAATACTGTTTTAAAACCAAAAATAATACAATTTCCATCGCACAACAATGCTGGCCTTTATTTGGGGCAGTCGTGTGCTGGAGGTTAGGGAACCAGCCCTGTGACCAGAAGGTCACCGGTTCGATCCCCTGAGTTGACAGTACGTGACTGAAGTGTCCCTTGCGCAAGGCACCTAACCCCCAACTGCTCCCTGGGTGCTGTGGATAGGGATCACTGCCCCCTAGTGTGTGTATGTGGTGTTTCACTGCATGGATGGGTTAAATGTGGAGGTGAAACTTAATTAAATATCTACTTCATTCAAACCTAAAGGTTGAAAATAACATGTATATGGCCTAAGGATGGGAATTGATAAGATTTTATTGATACCAGTGGCATTATCGATTCTGATTATCGGTCTGATTCTTTAACGACTCCCTTATTGATTCCTGATCAGTTTTCTGTGTGGAAAAATGTAGGCCTACACAGGTTTTCAGCATCAGCGCAGCTGTTATTATCTCTGACATTTGTTAAGATAAATTATAATGCTCCTTTTCTTAAATGGATATAACAAATATAAAACTGCCTCATCAAATAATACCACAGCATTCTTGTTTATCTAGGTTTTCTTAGAATAACTCTGCTAAGCCTGTCAGTGGGTGCTGATGTTATTATAACAGGATATTCACCCTCAGAGTTTGGCGTCATGACGCATGATTTTTTTAAAATCTGAATTTGTCAGAAAAACCTGCCAGTGTGGTCCCCAATCTCACATCCCCATCCTGATCTTAACTCACTTGGTTTCCGTCCACAGGATTCGCAGTGTTACTGGATGAATCATACATATCACAGCTGTTAATCAACTACTCTGGGCGGAACCTCAAAAAGGTATAGGTTGATCTTATGTGGCTGACTTTTTGTAAACCTAAATATATTTATAAACGCAACAAAGCTGGCAACCAACTGAATTAAAACAGTGACACGTTTTACAGTGAACTGTATTGGCTGGCATGATAATGAAAATGTGCTAACTTGGTAACTCAAGATGGTCCTTGGGAAGTGAAACCAGGACAGTGAGGTGAGAGTGGGCTTCACACCGGCATCGATATATGGAATTGATAACTTTGGAGGTGCATGATTCTGAAACAATTTGGGACCGGTTCTCAACTGGAACCGGTTCTTGATTCCCATCCCTGATGTGGCCCTCGTTCTGTTAACTTAATAATCGAAATTTAGTTAACATTTTAAGGCCAAACACTAACAGTGCACCATGTTTAGTTTGGACTGTGGGCTCAACTAGCTGACCTGAGTCAATGGATCTAACAGACCTGCTGGGTTTATACTGTTTAAACAGATCAGAGACGTGTTCTGGGCTGAAACCATTCAGTGATTTATAGACTTCAAACTCTGTTCTGTATCAAACTGGACAGTGTAGAGATTTTAGAGCTGCCATAACAGCTCTGATCTCCTCATCCTGGTCATTCTGAATGAGCTGCAGCTGTGTAATGGTCTTTTTTGGGAAGTCCAGTGAAAGGACCATTAGATGATGACAGAAGGCTGACAGAAGGCTGTTTTGGTGGTTGCTTTGGTGGGACTACTGAAAGTTAGGTAGGTAGGTAGGTAGACAGACACAGACAGACAGACAGACAGATAGATAGACAGATAGATAGATAGATAGATAGATAGATAAATATAAAGTAAAGATAAATACACACACACACATCATCTAAACCGCCTATCCTTCTGGGTCGCGGTGGAGCGCCAGAGTCCATCCCAGCCGCCACCGGGTGGAAGGCAGGACTAGTAAAGATAAATAATTAAATAAAAAAAAATTTAAATATACTAAAAACAATATAAATAAATACATAAATAAAAATAAAAAAATAAAAATAATGTGAGCTCAGAATAAAGACAGACTGGTATGAAGAAGGTAATGAAGTGATATTTATGTTATGGTGCTTGTTTGGTATGATTTGAGGAAAATCTAGCCCCCCCCCCTTCATATGGACTGAATTTCGGACAGTAGCTGCTACAGAATAACAGCTGTTACAGAGTTCCTACCTTCATAATCCCATCATTAACTCCAGATAAGAAAACAGCATCACACAAACATCCTAACTAGACTAAACCTCCTAAATCCTGTCCTAACTTTAGGATGAACCCCAACAGGGTCCTCACTTCTGTTTAAGGTCTGTTTCTATGGTTTTTAGGCAGCTGTGTCAGCAGCATAGTTCACTACCAGCATAATGAGCTCCATTTATCTCTACTGTAAAACGCTGCTTTCACTGTGAGATGATTTTCTTTTCTAACTCTGCGTTTTAAAGATCTCAGACGCTGCAGACTCGATCTCCACCGCCCCTCTGATCACCTTCGTGTGTTAATGTTGATGTTGAAATATTACAGTGATGGTGGTGAATAATGAGGAGACGGAGCTGAACGTGTGTCTGTTTATTAGGAGGAGTAATGTTAGCGCGCTCGGCTAAAGCGTTTGGGAAATGGAGACTGAAACTGGGGAGCGGCGACGCTCTGATAAACAGCAGGGGGCACTCTCAGTATTCACAACATATAGTTTATCACACTTTAGCTTTGGTTGACCTTACATCAGTAACAGCAGCTGTTTGGATAACTAATTTGATTATTTCGATTACATGTTGGCGTTTCAGGTGTGTGTGTATGGTTGGTTGCTAGGTAACAGGCATGACAGCCGATTGTCGACTTTGATTGAGTAGGTTAAGATTTCCTAACTGGAGATAAGATGCTGTAAGATAAGATTCCTAAATTAAGATCAGATTTGCTTCTGTAACACAAATTTGTGAAAAATCTTATCTCGACCTGTCAGATCTTAAGACTAAAAGAGAGATGTCCCCTGATGTTCTGGTGTTTCCCGGTATACAAATTAGACTAATGCTAACCCCAAAAGACTGGCCATTCCTTTATGTCCAATGCCTCGAAAATAAAGTGGACTACTTCAGATGAAGCGGATTAGACAGCAGGAGGTGATTGAGGGTCTGATGTGCTTTCATTTTTCATTTGAAACATCCCTGACCCAGACACTCAGCTAAACGGGGTAACATTAGCGCCTATTAGCATTTTTATGTTGTGTTAATTGTGTAACCATTATGACAAAACTCACATCTGAGAAAGAGTTTCAACCAAAATACTGCTACTGTAAATATCAAATTCCATTGTAATTTCTCTGTCTTAAGATTTAATCGCCACTTTTGAAATATGATGAATTCTGGATATTAATGTGATCAGAACGTCATTCTTGATGTTTTGCGGGTTCTCAGTTATTTCAGAATCTTGTACAGCTCTGTCCATCATTCTTGACTCACCTAACATTTCTACATTTTTAATTACAGCTTTCTATTTACTGAAATATGTGAAGTTCAATAAATAGAATGTATGTATATTTATGTATCTGAAACTAAACTGGCTTTACATTGCTGTCTGAACTGAGCTGAACCTCATCACTGTATCTCCTCCCCTATTAATACACACTGTGCAATGTATCATAACTATTACTGTAATGACTCTCACTATGCACTTTACACCGTAATATTGATGCAACTCCGAGTTAGATATGTCTATAATCTGTGCTTTTAGTTTACCTTACACCATTCAGTGCCTGCTATCATGTAAATACAACAAATCTGTCTCATGTACCATGTAAATATGCAAATAGATATACTTTTATTTTATTTCTCTTATACTTTAACTTGTGTCTAGGTTTATTTCTATCCATCCATTCATCCATCGTTGAAAAAATTGATTCAGAACTTTTCAATGGTAGTGTAGCTGTTTTATGATTACTAAACCTTACTTTACAATACTCAACTGACATGAAACAGTGAAAATCAAATATGTGTAGTGTGTGTGTAAAAAAACAGACCTTGCAGGTTTTGTCCATGGAGGCAGTGACGATGAGGGATGAATCCCAGTTAAAGTTCACGCTGCTGATCTCTGCTCTGTGGCCTATCAGCATGTGCACTCGTCTTCAAACACAAACAACACACAAACAAGTCCTTAAAATTAACAACAAAACACAATCCAGAATATCGGCTTCACTCTGTTTCAGAGGTTAGATTTATTTTTGTAGTGTTGATAAAACAACTAGTGCTGTCATGATTACAGGATAAAAATCAATCACTTGACAAAAATAATCAAGTACAATGTACATTCTTTATCAATCGACTTAGAGATTAGTTTGCAACTTGAATGCTAAACACGGTGGCTATTACTTTAAAATCACTTTACTGTGCAGCAGTGGGAGAGGAAACCCACACCAGCAGGATCTCACTAATGCTCACACGTTTGCAGTTATGAATTTCATGTATGTAAAGAAAAAATTACACATTTGATGTCACAAATTTGTGTACATGAAGTAAAAGTATGTATTTACAGACAGCTAAGTCTACTCCTACAATATTCACGTCCACTTGAATGTTTGTTGTAAGCTTCAAATGTTTCAAACGTCTGTGTTTAAGTAAAGCTGTCTTTGGTACTTTTACAGTGGTACTCAGGTTTATCCATTAACACTGCCAGGTGATGCTGGGTTACTGCACTAAAATACCTGCAGTTTATTTATTTTACTGCATCTGTAACTCTACAGAAATAAGGGTTATACTTCTGTAATGCCAATCAAGGTGGATCCAGTCCTGTGTTCTACATTTTATAAATGTTTATGTATTGGCATCAACAGATCCAGTAAGGTTCAAAGGTCAGAGAGCACAGAGAAGCACAATGCTTCTTTTGCAGTCTTTTCTAGTTTAATAGAAAATTATTAACTACAAATGATATTAACAGCAAAACTATCAGCAGGAAAAGTAGATCCTTTGAAATGTTAACAATAATTTCTTAGTATTTGATATATTCTTCTGCTTTAATGACAAGAAAAACTCAAAGTCCTTAACATGATTAATTTCACAGAGTTGCTTAAATTTGAATAGTGAACTAGAACATTGAATACTTTAATTTACTTTAACTTTTCTTTGTTTTGTCTCCAGGTTTAAATAAAAAACATTCAGATTTTCAATGTGGTCTCAGACTTTTGAACCCCACTGTATGTAATACAAATATAAATATAATGTACAACAATATCAGAAATAGCTACTGGCCCACAGTTCTGATATCAGTGCATTCCTAAACGATTTACCAAACATTCTGGCAACTGTTAAAATTCGTCCCTCTACTAGTGTCTTACCATTTTACCCCTTAAAACCTCAGGCTTATTACACACTAAGGCTTATTATTAGTAACTACTGGGGCTTCAGTGCAAACTGGCTGAGCTACTCTTAGGTTATGCAAGTGTGTAATGAAACATTGGACCTGCCGGTCAGTCCTGGCTATTTAAGGGGTCTTTCACATATGGGGTAAGTTGTAACATTTGCACTCATGCCATCTTTCTAGAAACAATAGGAGCTGGAAACAAAGTTTAAGTTTTGAATTGCAACAGAAGAGTAGGTTGATTGTTTACAAAAATAATGAATCAATTAATTAATCTTGCTTGAATAGTTTAAAAATTAATTAGCAAAACCTAAATGTGTGAGGTTGTGCAACACTCTCTCCTACATCAGGGATCTAATATTACAGATAAATCAATGAATGATTTGAAGCTGGTACTGAGCTCCACACCTGCCTGAAGAAACGTCCCACACGCTGACTGTGTGGTCAAACGAGCCTGTGACCAAACGATTCCCAACCGTGTTAAAGGAGAGAGAGATTATCTCAGCAGAGTGACCCTGAGAGAGAGAGAGAAAATTAAAGTCATCATTCTTCAATTGAAGTATTAGCATAAAGAATGTGCTAAGAAAAATGGAAAAATGTTAATTTCCTCTGATTCATCTCAGTTTGAAGACTAATTCATAATTTAGATTCACAGAGGAATAATAGGAGAGTAAAGCTGGGTAATGGAGAGACACGTCATCATCGTTCTGCTAGACAGTGTGTACCATCAAACGTCACTCTGAACCCCCATCAACAGCATCTACACCACCTCATCATCAGCTCCATCAGCTCCATTTACTCCGTCCACACCATTAACTCCATTTACTCCATCTACAGCATCTACACCACTTCACCATCACCACCATCTACCTCATCCACCATCTACACCACCTCACCATCTACACCACCTCATCATTTACACCACCAGCTACATTTACTCTGTCTACTCCGTCCACACCATTAACTCCATTTACTCCATATACAGCATCTACACCACTTCACTATCAGCTCCATTTCCTCCATCTACACCACCAGCTCCATTTACTCCATCCACACTATCAACTCCATTTACTCCATCTACAGCATCTACACCATTTCACCATCCATACCATCAGCTCCATCTACTCCATGTACAGCATCTATACCACTTTACCGTCTACAGCATTTACTCCATCTATACCATCTACACAGTCTACTTCATCTGCACCATCTACTCCATCTACACCATCTATTCCATTAACTCCATCCATACCACTTCACCATCTACACCATCAACTCAATTTAGTCCTTCTGCAACATCTACACCACCTCACCATTTACTCCATCTTCACTGCCTTACCATCCACACCATCAACTCCATTTACTCCATCCACACCATCAGCTCTATTTACTTTATCTAAACTATCAGCTCCATTTATTTCATCTACACCATCAACTCCATTTAGTCCATCTACAGCATCTACACCACTTCACCATTTACTCCATCCACACCACCTTACCATCCACACCATCAGCTCCATTTACTCCACCTATAGCATTTACACCACCTCATAATTTACTCCATCTTCACCGCCTTACCATATACACCATCAGCTCCATCTACTCCATCCACACCATCAGCTCCACTTACTTCATCTACACCACCTTACCATCTACTCCATCCACACCATCAGCTCCATTTACTTCATCTACACCACCTTACCATCTACTCCATCCACACCATCAGCTCCATTTACTTCATCTACACCACCTTACCATCTACTCTATCCACACCATCAGCTCCACTTACTTCATCTACACCACCTTACCATCTACTCCACCAACACCCTCAACTCCATCTAGTCCATCTACAGCATCTACACCACCTCACCATTTATTCCATCCACACCATTATCTCCATTTACTCCATCCACACTATCAGCTCTGCTTATTCCATCTACTCCATCTACACCATGTCATCTACTACATTTACACCATTCCTCCATCTACACTTTCTACTTATCTATCTATCTTCTCCATCTACTTAATTTACATCAGTTCCATTTACACCATCTGTTCCATTCCTGTCTATACAATCTACATCATCTACTCCATCTCACATTCCACACCATGTACTCCATCCCTCCATCTACACCAACTATTCCATTTACACTATCCATCAATGTACACCAGCTGCTCCACCCCTCCTCTATACCATCTACATCATCTATTTCATCCCTCTGACTATTCCATCTATTCCATTTACACCATTTCTCCATCCCTCCATCACGCTATCTACTCCATCCCCATCCATTCCACCCTCTATCTGCTCTCTCCATCTCTCCTTTTCACCCTACCTTTTTTCCATATTCCTTTCATCACTGAGTACAGTCAGTATTATGCATGCGCAGACTTTATCCATCTATTATGTAAAGGACGTGTCTGTTTGCGATTATTTTAGGCTCAGTAAAGTACAGCGCGTCTCTGCTTTAACAAACCCAGCATAACAAAATACATCACAATGCAAATCAAAATGCGCAATATAATACAACACAGTGCATAACATGCAACACAAAACAACAAAACACATCATCACAACTTATATAAGCTCAGAGAAAACAGCTCACACGGGACGCAGCGCTCAATTATGCACTAAATGGAAGCAGCGAATGATTAAATGAGTGAATTCATTAATAAGTGCACGGTTGAGCGGCTGTTCACCGAAAGCAGGAGGAGATGCAAATCACTGAAGAATTTAAAACAACAAGCCAAACTCTCAGGGGAGGAGAGAGAAATTATAGAGGAAGTTTGGAGAAAAATTAATGGACATAATTTCCAGTCTTCAAAGACATGCAGTCTGCATGATGCTAATTGGTGGAGTATAAGTGTCCATTACGCGTTAGCTATATTAGCCTCATAGCTACCAGTGCTAAAACTAATGAAGAAAACTTCAGACACCAAACACGTCTTGGCTGACTGACTACTTTTGAAGTGCGAGAGGGAATCAGGGTGAATTTAGCTTTTAGCCAACTATAACTTTAATTGCTGCACTTCTCTCATATGGAGGAAAAATAAAACACTTTCCTTCTTTCTCTGCAGATATCATTTGTAAAAGGATTATGATTTTATTTTATGAGCATCATGCCACTAAACTGCCAGTGTTCAAATTTATATGGGTAGTTTTGGCACATTTTGTTGGCAAAGCAGTTAAGTATATCATAAGTTAGCGAGAGGAGGTTTTAGGGCTCATCTGGAGGAGTAAAAGATGGAGGGAAGAGGGGAAGATGAGTGCAGGGGAATGATTAACTGACAGAGTGAAGTAGACAGATTGAATTGTGGGTAAAAAGATGGAAATACTCACGGCCAGGGTATAAACCTCCTCACCGCTCTCCACATCCCATAATTTAGCTGTGGTGTCCATGCTGCCCGTGGCAACCAGTGTGCTCTGAGGGTTAAAGGCCAGGCACACCTGGACAGGAGAACCACACACACACACACACAGTCAAATAATATCAGGCTGGATGAATAACTGACTCTAAATGTAGGTACTGTGATATAAACTGAGTCTGTTCTACAGTTTCTCATTAGGCTGAATGAATAACTGACTCTAAATGTAGGTATTGTGATATAAACTGAGTCTGTTCTACAGTTTCTAATTAGGTTGAATGAATAACCGACTCTAAATGTAGGTATTGTGATATAAACTGAGTCTGTTCTACAGTTTCTCATTAGGCTGAATGAATAACCGATTCTAAATGTAGGTATTGTGATATAAACCGAGTCTGTTCTACAGTTTCTCATTAGGCTGAATGAATAACTGACTCTAAATGTAGGTATTGTGATATAAACCGAGTCTGTTCTACAGTTTCTCATTAGGCTGAATGAATAGCCGACTCTAAATGTAGGTATTGTGATATAAACCGAGTCTGTTCTACAGTTTCTCATTAGGCTGAATGAATAACCGACTCTAAATGTAGGTATTGTGATATAAACCGAGTCTGTTCTACAGTTTCTCATTAGGCTGAATGAATAACTGACTCTAAATGTAGGTATTGTGATATAAACCGAGTCTGTTCTACAGTTTCTCATTAGGCTGAATGAATAGCCGACTCTAAATGTAGGTATTGTGATATAAACCGAGTCTGTTCTACAGTTTCTCATTAGGCTGAATGAATAACCGACTCTAAATGTAGGTATTGTGATATAAACCGAGTCTGTTCTACAGTTTCTCATTAGGCTGAATGAATAACCGACTCTAAATGTAGGTATTGTGGTATAAACTGAGTCTGTTCTACAGTTTCTCATTAGGTTGAATGTTCTGTAAAGCTTGTCCAACCTTAGAACTGTAGCTGTGAGAGAACATATAAATGGGTGAAGCGTCTAGAGGTAAACTGTAGTGCATTCTCTGATTGACATTATTAGTACGTACTATTTCGGCGGTGTGTCCTCTAAAGGTGTAGAAACATTTCCCCGTTTCAGCGCTCCATAACCTGCAGGTTTTATCAAAGGAGCCAGTGGCTATCTTGTCCCTGAGAGAAAGAGAGAGAGAGAGGAGAGAGAGGAGGGAGGGAGGGAGAAAAAGGACACTGGGCTACTGTTATGACTCAAAATGACAAATGCTCTCCCCACGTAACAGCCTGGAGCCGTCCAAACCCGCAGACTGACTGAGTGAGTGAATGTGTGTCTGATTTAATGGGTTTGGAGTATATTTGGACCATATCTGACTGTGGCCATTGTGTGACTGTGTGTGCAGCTTAATGCTCTGCAATATGGATGGAAGTGCAATAAAAGATACAAAACATCTTTACACTTTTACATGTTTATGTATTTTTGCATGGCAACATAAAAATCCACACATCATCTTATGCTGCCACCAAAGTTTAAACCACACACAAGAAATGTTGGTCAGATTCTGCTCAGGTGAATCCATCATCATCATCATAATGACAGCCTGTTTCAAACGACAGTCTCCTATCATCCATGATATATTATTATACTGCTATCTTTATAATCTGTTATCATCTGTACCATCCATTACGGTGCTGCTATCTGTATAATCTATAATTATCTGTTTAATGTTATTATCTTTGTAATCTTCTATTATGCTGCTATCTGTGATAGGATGCTATCTACCCTGCTGTTAATGTGCACAATTATAAAACAGTTTCATTGTAACACATTATACTATCTCATTCTGTCTCATTCTCAGATATTACACTGTGTTATTCTGTCTCATGTACTACGTTATACTAACTCACTGTAACACATTATACTGTCTCATTGTTATATATTATACTGTCTCATTAAACTGTCTCATTGTAATACATTACACTGTCTCATACGGTCTCATTGTATTATACCATCTCATTATACTGTCTCATTATACTGTCTCATTGTAATACATTATACTGTCTCATACGGTCTCATTGTATTATACCATCTCATTATACTGTCTCATTGTAATACATTATACTGTCTCATTGTAATACATTGCACTTTCTCATTGTAATCCATTACTGTCTCATTATACTGTCTCATTGTAATACATTATACTGTCTCATTATACTGTCTCATTGTAATACATTATACTGTCTCATTGTAATACATTATACTGTCTCATTATACTGTCTCATTGTAATACATTACACTGTCTCATTGCAATACATTATACTGTCTCATTAAACTGTCTTATTGTAATACATTACACTGTCTCATACGGTCTCATTGTATTATACCATCTCATTATACTGTCTCATTGTAATACATTATACTGTCTCATTATACTGTCTCATTGTAATACATTATACTGTCTCATAAGGTCTCATTGTATTATACCATCTCATTATACTGTCTCATTGTAATACATTACACTTTCTCATTGTAATCCATTACTGTCTCATTATACTGTCTCATTGTAATACATTATACTGTCTCATACGGTCTCATTGTATTATACCATCTCATTATACTGTCTCATTGTAATACATTACACTGTCTCATTGTAATACATTATACTGTCTCATTATACTGTCTCATTGTAATACATTACACTGTCTCATTGTAATACATTATACTGTCTCATTGTAATCCATTACTGTCTCATTATACTGTCTCATTGTAATACATTAAACTGTCTCATACGGTCTCATTGTATTATACCATTTAATTATACTGTCTCATTGTAATACATTACACTTTCTCATTGTAATCCATTACTGTCTCATTATACTGTCTCATTGTAATACATTATACTGTCTCATACGGTCTCATTGTATTATACCATCTCATTATACTGTCTCATTGTAATACATTATACTGTCTCATTATACTGTCTCATTGTAATACATTACTGTCTCATTGTAACCCATTACTGTCTCATTATATATTATTATTATACAGGGCCAACGATTAGACGGTTTCATTTCAAAATGTTCAGAACGGTCTGAGCTCTCTCTATTATAAGAGACCTGGAGCTCTGTGTACAAAAAGAAAAGCAGAAGTCTGGCTTTAGAAATTCTTAACATCTCTTGTGAAAACACAGCTTTACTCTTGTGGATGAATTGATTTACTGCTTGAAATGGTTTCACCAAAGTCTAAAGCTGCTGTTCTACTGCATGGTACAGATCAACTTTACTAGACTCCACTCTCTTTTGGTCCCTGCTTCGTTTTCCACCGCAAATATAGCGCCCTCTCAATGTAGCTGGTCAGCAAAGCGACACCACATGAAACTGCTGAGATGTGAAGGAGACAGACTGTGTTCAGAGGGGGCAGCTGAACAAAAAAGGAGAGTTTAGAAAAAAACTACATCAGAGTTTAGATGACGAGACGATTCTGGTGCTCAAAGGCGACTTAAGAGGCTACGCTAACCTGGTAGCTAACGTGTGTTTAGCGATTCTCTCCGACCAATCAGCAGTCTGCAGTGTTTTTACATCACCTTTTGGTATCGACTCAGCTCACTTGGAACCTCGATGGACGTGATACCAAAAATAGTACCAGGTGCCAGGTTTGCCTGGAAAACCAAAAAAGGCGAGTCGAGTCGAGCCAGTTCCATGTGTTGGAAAAAAAGCTTCAGGTCCCCAAATTAGCAGAATGTATGAATAAAGTAGTAGATAAATGTTCTCGTCATCACTACTTTCCAAACCCGCTGCAGCAACTTCAGCAGCTGTAAACTCTCTGCATTTCACATGAGTCTCCGATGTGGACTGAATGAAGAATGAAGGGTTTCCGGCGTGACGGTCAGTCCTTAGTGATTTCCTGAGTGTCCATTGGTCAGTTTCACACAGAATGTAGACGGACACACCAACCCACCAGTTCCACACGGTGAGAGGCAGATGACGCGTATCTCAGTCCCTCTTCATAGGCTCATAACTCCGGATGTGAGTCTCGTATGATCTCGAGATAAGATGGAATGGAAAGGGCGACGCTGCAGGTTGACCCCGGTGGGTGAAGCTCTTTGTGCTGATGTTTAGTTTGTCTTGGGGTGGCGCTGTTTGTGGTTCATTATGTTTGGGCTTATCACCGTATCCATGGTTACAGCGAAATTCATATCATGAGATAACGTCTACTGGTATTCACTTTTATACCTGTGTTCCACCCACGCCAGGAAGGACCAGAATTTCATCCAGATTTTTGTCTATTTGCAGTTAGCACAAAGCTAATTGGTGGTTTATATGTCGCTTGTTAGCTGAGTTAGCCTCATAGCTCCAGGGCTAAAGCTAAAGAAGCAAACTTCTGACTCCAAACATGCCTCAGATGATTGACTACGTTTGGGATAAAGGGGTGAAACTGGGGGAATTTGAGTTTTGCTGAACTATGGCTTTAATATCTAATGGGCAGAGTGAGTGTGTCTATGTGTGTGTGTGTGAGTGTGTGTGTGTGTGTGTGTGTGTGTGCGTGTGTTATTTACCCGTAGGGGTTGTTGAAAGCGATGGCGTAAACGACGTTTCTGTGGCCCTCCAGCGTCTGCAGCTCCTCTCCTGATGCAGTGTCCCATATTTTACACGTCCTGTCGTAGCTCCCAGTTATAAAACTGCAGACGGACAAAGAGACAGAGAGAGAGAGAGAGAGAAATGGGGTGAGGGAGAGATGGAGAGAGAGCTGAGTGGAAGGGGGGGCAGAGTGGAAGTGGTGGGGGCAGTGAAGGAGGGAGAACGTGAGTGCTTCAGATAAACTCACCTCGACCCTGATTTATTGAAGGCAACATTCGTCAGAGGCAGGATATGAGCCTGGAGCGCCTTCAGAGAGAGAGAGAGAGAGAGAGAGAGAGAGAGAGAGAGAGAGAGAGAGAGCGAGAGAGAGAGGTAGAGAAGGAGAGAGAGAAAGAGGGAGAGAGGGAGAGAGTGAAGAGAAGAAAGAAAGAGGGAGAGAGGATGGAGGGATTGGGGAGAGAGGAAGAGAGAGGGACACAGAAAGAGAGAGAAGATAGACAGAGGGGGGATGGAAGGATTGAAATAGAGAGAGGGAGACAAAGAGAGAGGAAGAGAGAGATAGACAGACAGAGGTAGGCAGACAGAGAGAGGGAGACAGAGGGGGATAGAGGGAGAGGAGAAGAGAGAGAGAGACAGAGAGAGAGAGAGAGAGAGAGAGAGAGAGGGAGTCAGAAAAGAGATAAAAAGAGGGAGAGAGAGAGGGGAGAGGGAGAAAAGAGGGAGAGAGAGTGAAGAAGAGAGAGAGTGAAGGAGAGAGAGAGGGACAGAGAAGGGAGAGAAGAAGAAAGAGAGAGAAAAAGAGAGACAGAGAGAGTAAGAGAGATAGAGAGAGAGAGAGAGAGAGAGAGAGAGAGAGAGAGAGAGAGAGAAAGTGAGTAAGAGAGAGAGAGATAGAGAGAGGGAGAGAGAGAGATAGAGAGAGAGAGAAAGTGAGTAAGAGAGAGAGACAGAGAGTGAGAGAGAGAGATAGAGAGAGAGAGGGAGTGTATTATACAGTGATGTGTTAAGTGCATTAATTGGTCCTCATCTTTAATCCTGACTGTGTAATTTCTGTGGCGCCTTTGATGTGCCAAAAACGGACAGCACCACTTAACCACCTGCTGCCATCCGGTGGCTGAAGTGGGAGTTGCTTTTACTCAAACAGGCCAAAACTAATTCATTTATAAAGAAAACACGTAGTCATTTTAAATTATTGTGTTTTCTAAATCTTATACTTATTTTATCATAATAAATAATTTGATTGGTTCTGTTATATAAATTTATCTAGCCTAGTTAGACATCGTTAAGTCCCATTCTAAATCTTACAGGTCAATACAGGTCAATACAGGTCATAGGTTACAAGCAACTTTCACTTTATAACAGATCTTGTTTCCGGGGCACAATAAAAACGACTCGCCCAATAGCAAAAATAAAATCAGCTATAAATATACAGACATCACAAACAAACAAAGAATACAAGTAGTAAAATATACAGGGTATTTAAAGGAATATTTTCATTGCAAAAAAAGATAATAATAATAATTTTAATTATATTTACAAAACACAGATATAGAAGAAGAGTCAAACTTGATTCAGAGGAAGTGCAGTGGTTTAATAGGATCTAATCAGCACTAAATGTCAGTGTGTTTACAGCTTATTTAAAAGCTCCAAACCTGCCCTCTCATCTACGACGGCGTTTTAGGGCCACTGTAACTGTAGGGGGGCTGCCATAACGCGTTGGGGTCTCGGTTGCTGTACTGTAGGGGGGCTGCCATAACGCGTTGGGGTCTCGGTTGCTGTACTGTAGGGGGGCTGCCATAACGCGTTGGGGTCTGGGTTGCTGTACTGTAGGGGGGCTGCCATAACGCGTTGGGGTCTGGGTTGCTGTACTGTAGGGGGGCTGCCATAACGCGTTGGGGTCTGGGTTGCTGTACTGTAGGGGGGCTGCCATAACGCATTGGGGTCTCGGTTGCTGTATTGTGGGGGGGCTGCCATAACGCGTTGGGGTCTCGGTTACTGTACTGTAGGGGGGGCTGCCATAACGCGTTGGGGTCTCGGTCGCTGTACTGTAGGGGGGCTGCCATAACGCGTTGGGGTCTCGGTTGCTGTCCTGGCGCCGGAGCTCCACTCACTCCTGTCTCTCTGTGGATCATTCTGATCATCATTCTCACTGTCTGTGAAACTTCATGCCCTCTTTGAATGGGAGGAGATGGAGCCCCCGATAGCCGTGTAGACGACCCTGCCTGAGATTCTCCTTCAACAACACAGACAGACAGTTTCCTCCGAGTCCGTCTGGCTCTTTATTCCAGATAAACACAGTTTCCTGCTCAGCCGTTTCAGCCGGTTCTTATCCTAATAACAGGCTGGTGCTGATGTGCAGGAGAGACAGGGAGACTGAGTGTTTCTTTATGGGTGAATCGATATGAAAGTAGAACTCCACCAACTCACCGCCCCTCATTTAACACGAGGAGGTGCTGCGTCCCTTCGCAAAGCCTTTGGCCACAATATTGACCTTTCCTGGTATTAATGCCACTTTAATGTTGTAATTCTACGACTTTTTTTCTTGAAATATTACAACTTTTTTTTCAAACTCTACTCTTTTTATTTTTATCAACAGTGCCCCTAGAACGCCGTCATACTTGTCAGTGTGCACAATCTATTATTATTATGAGCAGAAATGGAATATATTAAACAAAACCATGTTTTCATTAGTGTACAATCACCTGTAACTATGAAGTTTTGTGTTTTTGTCACTCAGAATGAGTCCAAAATCCTGTCTGATGCACTTCACTGTTTGATACCTTTAGAAATGAATTTGTATTCCAGTATCTTAAGTTTAAATGTGATCAAATGAACCTTTACTCATCAATTGTACAGTGTTTAAATCAGTGCACTATTACAAAACATCATTTTAGAAATTTTACTCAATACCCGAGAATTCTGGGAACAACAAGCAAGTTTAAAGGGTAAGAAATATACTTTATTTGTCTTTGTACAATTTGTTTGTCACATGCTGTGCCTCGAGACTTTTGAACTTCTGGACATTAATTTTATTAGAACATGATTTTAGATGCGAATTTTATTAGAACACCGTGACCCTATCTGGATTACGCGGTTAAAGATGATGATGATGATGATGATGATAACGATGAAGATTTTATTAGAACCCCATTGTGGATTTTTCTACAGCTTTCTCGGTCACGTTAGATTCTTCTACAGCTCTGTTTTTCACTCTGGATTTGTCTAATATTTCTTCATTTACAGCTTCAGACTGATTATTTGAAAATTTTACAGCATCAGCATCATCTTACTGTCACTGTATAAATGTATCTTCAATTAATTAATTAATCAGTTTATATTACTGAAAACACAGACTCCACACATTCAGACTCAGCTTTGTGGAGACAGCAGTGATGAAGGTGTGGTCAGGTGTGGTCCGGTGTGCGTACCTTGAACAGGTAGAACTTGCGGTGGTCCGGCTGGCTGAGCTTGTCCTGCAGTCTTTGGATCAGAATCTTCACCTGCTCTGCTCGGGAGGCGGTGATTAGCGGCTCCACTCTCCTGATCTCTGACAGAACCTCGTTCACATCACACCTAAGCAAGCACAGAACATCTATGATCATTTCATAGAACATTTATAATCGGAAAAAAACAACATATTCAGGGATTGACATTTAGGTTTTCAGTCTATACTGAATATAAGAATATGTTAATTAATGAATTCTGTAATGTTATAAGGTAAATGCAACCAATAACAAACAATAGGGCAGATTAACAGAGACTTCTTAACTTCACTCCGGCTACGGTGCAATCATCAACATCTCTCATACATCAGCTTCATAAATAACACAGTGATGCATGCCATATGTGCAGTAAGGAAAAACATTTACAGCTCTGTTGAGTATTATAATTACCACCCATATGGAAAAATATATTCCAAATGTATTAATCAAATATATTTTTGCAATGTATGAAAATGTAACAAAATGTGTTTATTAAATATCTAATTTAAAATGCATTTATTTGTATTTGTTATTATATTATTTCAGGTGTATGTAGTTTTAACAAAGGTTAATCAGATGTAACTAAATATACATGAACTGAATGAACAGCACTGACTTTACATTAACCGTGTATGTCTGCAGGAAGACACTCACAATGTATTTCAAATAAACAAGATATCAAATCATAACTGCATTTTCACAGAATATCAAAACCTACAATACTCGCTTCTGTCATGTTAAAGGATCATTTGATTAGAAACACCTACTTAGTACTTCCAGTGACTGGCCACTTTATTAGAAACACCCACCTTGTGCTTCCACAAACTGGCCACTTTATTAGAAACACCCACCTTTTACTTCCACTTACTGGCTGCTTTATTAGAAACACCCATCTTGTGCTTCCACTAACTGGCCACTTTATTAGAAACACTCACCTTGTACTTCCACTAACTGGCCACTTTATTAGAAACTTTATTACTGGTTGGTATAGTGTAGTAACACCTCTGCCTTCTACGCTGTAGACTGGGGTTCAATCCCCGCCTGGGTAAACACCCTACACTATACCAGTAAGAGTCCTTGGGCAAGACTCCTAACACCACCTTCACCTACCTGTGTAAAATGATCAGACTGTAAGTCGCTCTGGAGAAGAGCGGCTGACAAATGCCGTAAATGTAAACACCCACCTTATAGCTCTTCTATGTAGGAGTTCAGTTACAGACCGTATTCAATCTGCTGCTGTACAGTTTATCAGCTTCCTCTGCTCCATTCATCACTGGTCAGATTCTGACCACAGGGCCGCTGCTGTGTAGACGTTATGTGGGTGGTGGTTCATTCTCAGCACAGCAGTGACACTGAGATAGTAGTGTGTGTGGTGCTGGTATGAGTGTATCAGACACAGCAGTGTTGCTGGAGTTTTTACACACGTCAGTGTCATTGCTAGGTTTAGAGTCCACCACCCAAAAATACAACAGCAGCTCTGAAGGACTAGAAGACGACTAAAGACTCATTGTTTCCATGCTCTGAGTTCATTTTGTTCGTATTTGTGCACGTTCCCTGAAAGCTTACAGATACAGACGAAACAGCGCAGTACCACCGGAAGCCGTGAGGGCAGCGTAGCCAATAGTTCACACGAGACACAATGTCAATTTCTCTCACTGGTAATATAAGTGAAAAGACGTCCGCACATCACAGAGTCTACACTAGTGCCGCTTTCAGAGTTGGTACATTACAGTGGTGGACAGTCACTAAGTAAATGTAATTCATTACTGTACGTAAGTAGTTTTTCGTGTATCTGTACTTTACTGAAGTTTTTCCATTTCCACTTTTCCTTTTCACTCCACTACATTTCAGAGTCAAATATCTCACTTTTTACTCTGCTACATTATGAGAAATCTGTCACTCCTTTTGGTTTATGTGTGCATAAAAACGTGCCATGTCAAAACGAAAGAAGCGCAAAGAAACACCAATCAGGGCACAGCGGTCACTTTGTTTTGAGCTTGTTTTGAACTGTTGGTCATACCGACCCAGTGCAGCACACGGTTCAACATCAGTGCAGCAGCGTAAAATTTTGGGAGAGTCTATTCAACATAAATGATGAACTAACCTAACTTTGTGTAAACAGACCACAATATAGAAATATGTACACATATGCAGTTGTGACTGACGTGTCTTTCATTTTACAGTAAATTAGTTTTGGCTAGTTTATGTTTATGAACAGAGACCTACAGATGCAGTTTAGTAAAGAAAACTCATTTGTGAATCTGAGTTTAAAGTTTTTATTAAACTTAAACTTGGAACTAAGTTCAAATAAATCTTAAACCGAAACTTTGCTTGTTTGTAAAAAGTTATTTCAGTTTGCCTTCAGTGTTTTGAGCTTATGATAATTTTAATAGACATCAGCGTCACTAATTAATGACCTTCTATTAAAAGACTGGTTTACCAAGAGAGACACTGGAGTATTTTCACCTAAAATGAGTTAATGAAGCGAGTCTTGTTACAAAAATGATAATAGGACATTAGAGTCATAATTAACCTTTCAGTACTTTTACTTTTGATACTTAAGTACATTTGAAGGCAAATACTTTTGTACTTTCACTCCAGTGGAGGTCTAAAGGGAGGAACTTCTACTTTTACTGGAGTAATATTTTACCTTGGGTATCTCTACTTTAACTCAAGTACATGGTTTGTGTACTTCGTCCACCACCGGTGCAGTATAGACCACTGTAGTCGTGTCGTCATTGTGTAGTTGGCGCCGTGCTCTTATGCCCATTTTAGGAACTCCGGGTCTGAGCTCCATTTCTCTATGGTCAGAATGAATAGGGTTTTAGAAAAATCGCCTCTAGCGCCCCCTGTGTTGAATAAACATGTTCAGAACCCGATACGTTCTGTCCTGTGAACATTCTCCTCCCGAATATCACTGGATCCTCTGAATTACGAGGTTGATAAAGAGTGAGCTAAAGCTACAGCGCACTGAACTCATGTCATTAGACTGGCAGTCTCCTTAATCAGGTTATCACCCCTGATAAACTGATTTAGGCTCTCAGAATAACCCAATTATTATTTTAAGGCTGGAAACATTTTTCTGAGGACACTTTCTCGGGACATTCGCCAGACTTTTCCCGTTCCACCTTAAATGGTGCAGCAGTCATGTTCTGAACTGCGCCATTTAAGGTGGAACGGGAACCTTCAAACAAGAAGCTGTGAAGCTACAAGACAGGGGTTTCTGATAAAGTGGCCAGGGAGTGTATAATACGAGTACAAGGTCATGGAGTTCAGCACATCACTCATCACTTCTATCAGATGAAGTAAATCTCACTCGGGGGTCAAATCCAGCAGGTCAATGGATTTAGTCCTCTGCTGTCCTCCTTTCTCATAGTCCAGGATTATTCCTGCACACAGAACGGGAACGTTTTACTTTTCAAGGTTTCAAGGTTCTGTATCCACAACAGTACCTAAAGATAAGGTCAGTACACTCGTAAAAACATGGTGATGCTCGTAAATACATGGTTCTATAGAGACCTATGAACACTCAAAGAACCATTTGTTTACTTATATGGTTGTTTGCTGGGTGAAATCGTTCAATTCAGATTGAAGAATTGTTGTACATGGTTCTACATTGTTACAATGTCAAGCTTGTATATGATAGCAGAACCTTTTTTGGTGCTATACAGAACCGCGCATTCCCCATCAATCCAAAGAACCATTTCACAATGTAAAGAACCCTTTAAGCAGTGGTTCTTTGAGTGTTCATGGTTCTACACAGATCCTCAAATACAGGTGTTGCTGCTGCAGTGAAATAAAGACTGTAATAAATGTAAAAGTATCTTTCCAAAAACAAGTTAAGTAGATTCTTACAAAAGACGGTTCTTCAAGGGTTCTTTAGTGAAGGCAATAGTTCTAATCAGAATCAGAATCAAGCTTTTTTGGCCAGGTTTGCTTACACATACAAGGAATTTAGTTTTGGTTACAGGAACTCACAATGCACAGTACCAGACAGACATTCACATGTAGTAAATAAAATAAAATGAAATAATACAGAATAACTAAAATAAAATAAAATGAAATAAATAAATAAATACATAACACAAAATGCATAAAAATAAAATAAAAAATAAAATAAAATAAAAAATGAATAAAGTAAAATAAAATTAATTAACATAAAAAAATTTAAATAAGATAAAACATGCATTCCTACCATCACTCACTCACACACACACACACACTCACACTCACACACACACACACACACACACACACACACACAAAACCAAAACAAACCACTTCATGCTTAAATGATGCTTTGCATGGTGAAATGGTTCTTCTGATTGATGGAGAATGTGTCGCATATGGTTCTTTATAGAACCTTTTTGAGAATGGTTCTATATCGCACCAAAAACGACTCTTCCTACTGTTACAGTGTCAAGCTTGTAACCGTAGCAGAACCCTCTCTGCCGCTGTACAGAACCATTGACAACAAATTCTGCATCAATCTGAAGAACCATTTTACCATGCAAAGAACCATTAAAGCGTGCAAACATTTCTATAGAGAGTTCATGGCTCTAAATAAAATCTTTTCCTATATTAAAGAACCCTTGAAGAACCATCCTTTTTAAGAGTGCAGAAGTATAAAAGCAGCAGTTTGAAAAACTACATAAGTACTGAGTAACTTCTAGAACTGCAGTGGAACGTCTTAGAACATTCAGCATCTAACAGCACAGAAACTATGAGACTGAAATCGGCCACTGCTTCGAATTTTGCGTTCCACCTTAAACGGTACAGCTGTTACATATTTCTGAGATGTAATCAGAGAGATTCAGAGGGGTTTGGTGAAATGGTTCAGATGTCTTTACAGTGGTGGTGATAGGAACCAGGGGTCGCCATGACTACAACACAAATATAGACATTTTATTTACTATCCAGAACCACCAGTGAACCTACACGAGTCTTCTGAGTTTATATGGGAATGTTGATGATGGAAAATAGTGGAAAATCTGAAATAATACGTTTTCTTTGGGGACTATTTTGCCTCACAGCGCCCTGCATGTATCCCTCCACCATGAATGGAGTTTAAGTTCTCTAAACTATCATAAAACAGTGTCTCAGACATCAGGCAGTGAATTCATAACCATTTCATGTAGGAACTTTCTGTGAGGAGCTTTTAGAGGTGGACGTCTGGTTCCTATCACCACCACTGTGAACAGTTCTGACTCGGTAAGTTTATCTAGAACAGAGAGTTTCACACCAAACCACTCTGAACCGCTCTAAACCACTCTAAACCCCTCTGAACCGCTCTGAACCACTCTGTTTACAGCTTAACCACTTATTACACAGAAACTTTGAAAAAGCGGTGGAGTTCCCCTGTAAATACGTTGTCTGTTATCGTAAGTTACCTAACAAGCACAACTAGCTAACGCTGTCTGACAAGTTAAAACAAGACAAAATTCGTTAATAAACCGCGAAGAAAAGCAGATAAACATACACTACGACATTATTAGGTACAATATCATTCATAAAATGCTGATATGAAGTCTTACCTGGTGGAAAATAGCGAATATGAAGCCGTTTCAGCCTCATTTCCCCCTTAAGACACTTTTACAAACGCACCGTTACCGTGGTGACTGAGGCGACGCACAGCGCCCGGTCTGCGCATGCGCACGTGGCTCTTATTATGTACTTTTGTCTTACAATTAAAACAAAATAAAGGAAAATAATATAAAACAAAATAAAATAAATATATGATGATTTTCGAACATAATTTTCTTAAAACTAATAAAAGTAAGCCTGTTATAAAAATCATGCCATTTTTATTTTTACTTTTTCCTTTATTTTGTTTTTGTTTTTGTTTACTCTGAAAAATAAACTTTTCCTCTCCACTGTAAAAGCACACTTTGCTTTATGCACAAGTTGTTTTGCACCCACAGTTGTGTACAAAAGTTTGGTCAAATTACATGATATTGTTGATTTTCTAAGTGAAAATAATTCAACATTTTAACATTTAACAGTTAAAAAAATAAATAAAACATAAAATGTGTCTTGTGCAAAAGTTACAGCACATCTTTGCCCAGTATGTTGAACTTAGCAGATAAATAGAAACTGTGCACTAACATTAGCAGGAACATGTCATATTTAAGTGTGTTCTCTAAATGTTAAATAATTTTCATTTGGAAAATCAACAACAACATGGAATTTGACCAAACCTTTGCACTTGGCTGTACAGTAAGACCTTGTATTTCTGCTCAATCATGCTCTAATCAGCTACCAGTGAACACAGGGCTGTAAAACGGCTCATAAATCACAGGTCAGAAGTAAAAACCCTAAAAAGTGTCATAAGCCACCATGTCAAAAATCAGACCTCGTTTCATTTCCTTTTCTTAAAGCCCTAAATTAGCCTTGCCAAAGTCATCTTTGTATAGCATGCTGTAATTTTGCATACACACTCAAACACAAGCCTGCACTGAAAAAATACAAATACAAACACATAAACGTTCATATACATGCTCATATAAACACACACAATAATCAGGGTTGGGATTTAATGGAATACAAGTACTGGGAATCTGTATTCAGAATAAAGAAATTAGATCTGTATTCAGTCCAAGTTACATTTTATAAAGTATTCAGAATACAGTTACCTTTACATATTTAGGGGAAAACTTACCACTACATTAAAAACATACAATATTCAAAAGAAGCACCATCAATGCAATAGCTGTGCTAAAGCCTGAGTAGACTGATGAATCAATGTGATCAGTAATTAATCTCAGCGTTACTGAGCTCTGCTAAAGCCTGAGTAGACTGATAAATCAATGTGATCGGTTATTAATCTCAGCGTTACTGAGCTCTGCTAAAGCCTGAGTAGACTGATAAATCAATGTGATCGGTTATTAATCTCAGCGTTACTGAGCTCTGCTAAAGCCTGAGTAGACTGATAAATCAATGTGATCGGTTATTAATCTCAGCGTTACTGAGCTAATGATAATGCATTATAACTGAAAACATTACTGAATATATTTAGAATAAAGTATTCAGTATTCAGCCATCAGTGCTTTTTCAAAGTATTTTGCCCAACACTGATAATAATACACATGTGCACACACACACACACACACGCACACACACACACGCGCACACACACACACGCACACACACACACACACACACGCGCACACACACACACACACACACACACAGATCAAAGTCTCAGTCATAAAGAATTTCAACTGTAACTCTCAAACTGTGTGTCTGTCAGTTCCTGCTAGCGTAAAGAACACAGACACTGCAGGCTGAGGTGTGCTGGTGAAGGATGAGTGTGTTTACGGATTTGAAGCGTTCCGGATGGATTTTTCCAACCGTTCTTCTTTCCCTGTACGGATTTTTCGCTAACTGCAGGCCGGCTGAGCCGTTTCTAACGCCGTACCTGATAGGGCCCAAAAACCTCTCTGAGCAAACCGTGAGTACAACGCTCTCCGCTCAAACACCAGTAATATCATCTTTAAATGCATATCTAAACTAGATTATTATTATTATTATTATAAACATTAGTATCATTATGTTTATTATTGTGTAGTATTTATGAACATCTTTACATAATAATCAATAATCATTAACATGATTAATTTGGTACTGGGGGAGGCACGGTGGCACGGTGGGCAGCGCTGTTGCCTCACTGCAAGAATGGCCTGGGTTCGATTCCCGGCCAGGTGACCAGGGTCATTTCTGTGTGGAGTTTGCCTGTTCTCCCCGTGTCTGTGTCGGTTTCCTCCCACAGTCCAAAAACATGCAGTCAGGCTGACTGGACACACTAAATTGCCCCTAGGTGTGAGTGTGTGTGACTGTGTATGTCTGTCTGTCTGCCCTGCGATGGGCTGGCGACCTGTCCAGGGTGTATCCTGCCTTCTGCCCAATGACAGCTGGGATAGGCTCCAGCACCCCACCGCGACCCAGAAGGATAAGCAGTTTAGATGATGTATGTATGTAATTTGATACTGTATATTTAAACCAGATGATCTGTTCCTATTGTTATAACTGGCATTATTAACATCATATTAGCATTAACATAATTAAGTTATTGTTGTCCAAATGTTTAATAGTATAAAGAGTGCAATATGATACTAAAGAACTGCATGTGTAAATTAGAAACATTATTATTATTATCATTATTATTATTATTATTATTATTATTATTTGAAAGGCATTTATTCCTCCAGTGTACAATACAGAACTGCATACATACTAACTAACTATTATTGTAATTATTATTATATGATTATAAGTGACAATATGACAATATTAATTATTGTAAGAAGAACATGTCCAAGTTTATTAAAAACTAAATTTAGTATAATATAATATTGTAGTATAATATTATTGTTATGATTCTTATATGAGGGGTATGTAAGAATATCATCTTTAAATTAAAAAAATAATCAATAATATGGTCATGAAGAGCTGCATGTGTAATTTCAAAACACAGGTATCACAAGGTTTTCACTACAAACAGCCCAAATTTGACACATTTTCATATTTCTACGATCATCTTTCCCTGATTAAGGCTGAGTGAGGTGTATGATAATGTAACAGAGCTGTTATTGCTGCTGATGTGTTGTCAGCACTGCTGGTTCCCTCTGTGTGTGTCAGCTGGAGAGTCGAACAGGGAAACACTGAGTGCATCTCAATACGCTGCTGCACACACACATCAGCGCACGACTGCAGGCATAATGGAATCAATTCTGAGGGAAAATGAAAAGCGTGTGGCCGCGCTGAGCAGCCACGGGCACTTACAGAGCAATCTGAGCGTGTTCTTAAAGCCGAGCACACCGGCTGGGAAACGGGAAAGGCCGTGTTCTGCATGCAGAGCTGACGACGCAAAGAAATCAGTGGAATCTGATGTAAACAGTGTGCAAATATCAGCTCTTAAACCTAGACAAAAAGTCTAATTTACCCAGCTTCCCCCTCTGTTAACCCAAATGTAGTCAGTCAGCAACAAAGTAAATGTAATTCATTACTGTACGTAAGTAGTTTTTTGTGTATGTGTACTTTACTGAAGTTTTTCCATTTCCGGCGACTTTTTCACTTTCACTCCACTACATTTCAACGTCAAATATCTCACTTTTTACTCTGCTACATTATGAGAAATCTGTCGTTCCTTTTGGTTTATGTGTGTATAAAAATGTACCATGTCAAAACAAAAGAAGCACAAAGAAACACCTATCAGGGCACAGCGGTCACTTTGTTTTGAGCTTGTTTTGACCTGTTGGTCATACCGACCCAGTGCAGCACATGGTTCAACATCAGTGCAGCAGCGTAAAATTTTGGGAGAGTCTATTCAACATAAATGATGAACTAACCTAACTTTGTGGGTAAACAGACCACAATATAGAAATATGTACTCATATGCAGTTGTGACTGACGTGTCTTTTTTCTGAATTTATACAAACACTATTTCATTTTATAGTAAATTAGTTTTGGCTAGTTTATGTTTATGAACAGAGACCTACAGATGCAGTTTAGTAAAGGAAACTCATTTGTGAATCTGAGTTTAAAGTTTTTTTTAAACTTAAACTTGTAGTTCAAATAAATCTTAAACTGAAACTTTGCTTGTTTGTAAAAAGTGATTTCAGAGCCACTCAGTTCTACCTGATGGAAACTGTTTGCCTTCAGTGTTTTGTGCTTTTGATTGTTTTAATAGACATCAGCGTCACTAATTAATGACCTTCTATTAAAGACTGGTTTACCAAGAGAGACACTGGAGTATTTTCACCTAAAATGAGTTAATGAAGCGAGTCTTGTTACAAAAATGATAATAGGACATCAGAGTCATAATTAACCTTTCAGTACTTTTACTTTTGATACTTAAGTACATTTGAAGGCAAATACTCTCAAGTGGAGGTCTAAAGGGAGGAACTTCTACTTTTACTGGAGTAATATTTTACCTTGGGTGTCTCTACTTTAACTCAAGTACATGGTTTGTGTACTTCGTCCACCACTGCAGCTAACACGTTTCATGACGGTAGCTACGAGGCTAATGCATCTAACAAGTAATGGAAGCTTATACCCTGGCCTGGATCATGAAGTAATAGGCCCCGTGGCACAAATGCCCCTACCTGGAACCTTTTTATGGCATCACAGCAGGTTTCATACGATCTGTGCAGACCCACAGAGGCAGTACAGTAACTGAGGCTTTGTCCTCAAATTCATTTAGCCTGCTTACATACACACTCCTAGGAACAAGCCTCTTAATGGAATGTTTTTAATGTGTGCCAAAGCAAAGTTCATTTATTTGTCATTCATTTGTTTTTAAAAGACATTTAAACTGTATGAGCCAATAAATATAGAGATTGTGTGGCAATATTAGGCTAATCCTGTTTTATCGTCTTGTCCATTTAGATCGGAAGGGATTGCGTTAGCATTCCCTGGTTACATAAAGACAGCCGCAGGTTGCCAGACAGTACAGCTTCCAAACGCATCGCACTGAACAGCTGAGAACAAACACGAGGAAAAACACCAGCAGAATCTAAACATCTAACCCTCACTGAGCACTCTACACTAAATATAACGTCATGGTGAGCTTAAAAAAGTTTATGGACCCTTTATAGTGAATATATGTACATCTGTGGCTTCAGAACAAGTTCACAGGAACGCTAACTCACTGCTCAAAACACTGGAAGCTTGATCAAGAAACTGGCAGTGGGTGTAATAGGTTGAAATTAATTCATTTTCTCATTGTGCCACCATGAAAGCAGCTATTTAGATTTTCTTAGCGATGCTTTTGGATGCCCCCTAGTGGTTTGGGGCCCTGGGCAGACACCCAAAAACACATGGAATGTTCCAGGCCTGCTTTAACCCCACCATTTAGCATTATGCTAACTGCATGCCTTGCCTCAAACTGTATGGAGGTGTTCAGTATCTCTACTAGACTTGATTGTGTGGTTTCTGACACCGTTTGACTCACTTTTATCTGTTAGGCCTGCGTTTTGTCTGTACTTTAGTCTGTGTTTATGAGGAGGGAAAGAGCAGAACTGCATTGCAACTGCGCTGGTTTTACATTTTGAATCTCCATTTATTTCTTCATGGGGATGATTATGGATTAAAAATCACTCAACAGCTGTAATTGTAGTGAAGCCACCTTCTGCAGCTGTACCAGCACAGCAGCTATAGCAGAATATTTAGTGAGCCGTATAAATATAAAGATTAAAGTATAATTGAGCTATTGCGCCCCCATCTAAAGCAAAACAGCGCAGTGCTGCTCACCTCGGACAGAAATAGAAATATGTTTTACACTCGGATTATTTGGGACATTGCCATATGTCCAATATAACTGAATTTGGGAGCAAGTCTGCTGTTACGTCTTAACCACAAAGGGCCTATGTGTCTGTCTTGTTTGGAATAAAAACATTGCCGGCCACTGGTCCTTTGTGATAAGACTGGACACCCCTGCTGTGTGCAGCACCTCCTGTTCACTGTTAACCTATGTTTTGAACACAAACAGCAGGGGGTGCTCTTACCACTTTCCTTCCCCATAGATCAGTGTTTCTCAGCCTTGGTTCTGGAGACCCACTGCCCTTCAAATTTAGGTATTCGTCTTGCTTATACCCACTTCAATTCAGTAAGGGCTTGTTAATGAGCTGATTAGCTGGATCAGGTGCAGGGCAGTGGGCCTCCAGGAGCGGAGCTGAGAAACATTGACTTAGATAACAATATGTCATACAGTGTCAGATACCACACATTACTTACAGAGGAATTCCACCGTTTTTTCAAAATCTTTACATAATTCAGTGTTTGAGATTGTGATTCTGAGTGTTTTGGTGCGAAATGGTTCAGTTTTCTTTACAGTGGTGGTGATAGGAACCAGGGGTCGCCGTGACTACAACACAACCAGAATCGAGAACCACCAGTGAACCTACACGAGTCTTCTGAGTTTATATGGAATGTTGATGATGGAAAATAGTGGAAAATCTGAAAAGTAAAATTTTCTGCCTCACAGCGCCCTGCATGTACCCCTCCGCCAGGAATGGATTAAATTCAAATGCATTTTAATTCAAAACTTTATCATAAAACTCTCATAAAACAATGTGTCAGACATCAGGCAGTGAATTCATAACCATTTCATGTAATAACTTTTATTACATTAAATGGCTTTCAGAGGTGGACGTCTGGTTCCTATCACTACCACTGTGAACAGTTCTGACTCTGTAAGTTTCTCCAGAACGGAGCGTTTCACACAAAACCACTCTGAACCACTCTGAACCACTCTGATTACATCTTAACTACTTAATTATGTGGAACGTTTGAAAAATTGGTGGAGTTCCCCTTTAAAGAGGCACCCCAGCCAATACGAGGCCACCTGAAAATTTCACTCATCTCACTCCAGCCAAATAAAAATGTCACTCCAGTCTCAAATCTGTACTGAGACGTCTTACTGCACCTGAAAATCTCAAATTCTAATCCATTCCTTTAACTGTGGAACCACTGTTGTTGTTCTTTATCACATTCAGGTGACCAACTACCTGTTCCCCATATGGACGTACTCGTACCTGTCCGTGCTGCCCGTGGTCTTCCTGCTGACCGACCTGCTGCGCTACAAGCCCGTTGTCGTCCTGCAGGGACTTTTCCTGGTCAGCAACTACCTGCTGCTGTGCTTTGCGCACAACCTGACCGCTATGACCTTCCTGCAGTTCAACTATGGCGTCGTCACGTCCACTGAAGTGGCCTACTTCTCCTACATCTACAGCGTGATACCGCCTGAACACTACCAGCGGGCCACAGGGTTCGTCCGAAGTGCCATGCTGACCGGCTCCACCTTTGGGGCCACTCTGGGTCAGCTGTTAATATCGTTAGCGGGGGTTAGCTACTTTACAGTCAATGCTATCACACTGGGGCTGATGGGGACGGCCTTTATTGTGTCCTTCTTCCTGCCCATGCCCCAGCAAGGGGTGTTTTTCGGCCCCACTGCAGTTGGAGTGTCTGCAGATCCACTGGAGGAAAGGCCAGGCGTCACTGACCCTGGGGTCATTGGGGGTCAGAAGGCAGAGGCTAAGGCCAGATGGTTCAGCAGGGAGAGCCTGAGGCTGGCAGGCAGACGGATGTGGGCGAATATCAAGGAGTCGTACAGCTCCAGGAGGCTGGTGTACTGGTCTGTTTGGTGGGCTTTTGCCACAGCTCACTATAGTCAGATCTTTAACTACATCCAGCTGATTTGGGACCGCATTGAGCCGTCCAGCACGTCCTCTGTTTACAATGGAGGGGTAGAAGCAGTCTGCACACTTGTGGGTAAGAAATATAGGACAGCAAGTGATCTGAGCACTAGCACTTGTATTCATTCTGGGTTACACATAGTGAGTCAACCTACATTCAGGAGCCCTGAAGTCGTGTGTCATTCTGTAGTCTACGTCATACCCAAATTAGCAACTCCGGGTCTAAGCTGGATTTCTGTGAGATGAAAATGAATGGAGTTTTTGAAAATCGCTAATATCACTTCCTGTGGTTGATAAAATGCTTCCAAACTTGATATGTTTTATCCTATGTTAATTTTTATATTCAATGTCACTGGATCCTCCGAAACATGAGGTCATTGAGGAGCCGATATATGCGATGTAACACTGCTGGGCACTGAACTGACATTATAAGACATAAAAATAAATCAAAACAAATTAAAATATCCCAAATAAACCAGCGAGCTTTGCCCTGTGTGGTAGTTAAGATGCTTTGGCTGTAACAGAGTACCTTAAGAGTAGCTGGTGTTGGTATAAAGTTTAATATTGGACTCACTTTCAACATCATTTCAGTGCGCAGGAGTGTTAGCTTGCTATTAACATAGATGTAGCAATTTTCGTGTGTCAGCCCCTTGAGACCTCTTAACTCAGATCTAGCATCATTCAGTGGAAAAATGTACACAGGACAAAATGAAATGGCTTTGGAAGCTTTTTGTGTACCACGTAGTGCCATTTTTTGGTGATTTTCTAAAGTCTCATTCATTTTTGCCATAGAGAAACCCAGCTTAGACTCGGAGCTGCTAATGTAGGCGTGATGCCAGCTACAGAATGACGCATGATTTCAGAGGTCAATGCAGGTGAGAGATTTTGACTTTATACAGTAGGATAGATTAGGACAGGGAGCAGTCTTGCGAAAAAAAAAAAAAGAAGTACATATTTTGTGTATGTGTAGGCTAAACTACGAGAAACTGCAAATGAGCATAGCGTCGTGTGACATCACTATTAGCAGACAAGCACTTTACTTTGTGTCTGCATCAACATTATAATACTCACTAATCATGTAGAAGTCAGCCAGAATTAACTTAAAGCCAAACGAGACAGCTTTGGCCACAACACAGGCTAAAAAGCCAGAAGGTTATAAAGCTTTATTATGCGTACACGTCACATAATACATTTACAACATTTAGCAGACACTTTTATCCAGAACAACTTACTAAAGTGCTTTGTTGTCCACTCAGAGAAGGTTTTCTAGCTAGCAAATAAGTCCAAAGTACCCATCAGCTCAGATACTGCCAGAAAACAAAAGCTATTGCTGATATCTAGAAAGAAAGATACGCAATACCAAATACCAAAATAAGACACAATAAGTGCTAGATTAGAGTTCACTTAAGTGCTCGAATTTTGACCTTTGCCATTAGGGAGGGAGGGGCTGGTTCTTTCTTGGCTTTAAAGGCCTCAGAGTTTTGAATCTGATGCAGCCACAAGAAGCCTGTGCAGTGACTTGAGATACTTTAAGAGGATTGAAGACGAGCTGTGCTTCTGTGTTCTGGATCTGCTGAAGTACCTGAAGGCTGCATAGGAAGACCAGCCAGAAGTGAGTCGCAGTAGTCAAGCCTTGAGATGACAAGAGACTGAACGAGCACCTGGGTGGCCTGAGTGAGAAAGGGTATAGAGTGAAAAGACAAGAGGACCCAGCACCGAGCCTTGTGGAACACCGGTCTCGACCCTCTCTATGTTACCTGATACGAGCGTCCTTCCAGACAGGTCTTTCTTTACACGCAATCCACGGGTGAACTCGCCTTGTTCAGAGCCCTCTAGCGCTGGAGTGCTCGTTAACAACGCCCGACAGACAACAAGGTGACATAACGAGAGCTAGGGTGGCTAAAAATACCTCCAAAAAACTCTTTGGCCCAGTCCCATTTCACTCTCGCCCCTACCCCTCAGCCCTTCCCCTCTGTTTTGCGCGTTTACGTCTAGGTGTCCTGCCTCTTGTTGAGATAGAAGGGTGGGGTGAAGTGTTGGGGCAACATGACCCTCCAAACAGAGAGATATGAGAAAAAAAGAAAAACCGGCAAGATGGCTGAACAAGAGACCAAAGAAACCCACAAATGTGAGAATTTTTTTCTGTTAAAAAAATGATGATAACCATCGTATTATCTTAGTTCAAAAATCGCTAATAGTGTGCTGATGTCTCAGTAGGTAGCAGGCTAAATTTCCCATTCCACCTTACATGGTGCAGCAGTTCTGGAGTCTGAAAATTGAAAGAAGAAGCTGGAGAATATCTGACTTCAGCTTCATATCACTGAAGAATTAGGGGTGGGTGATAATAAATAATTGCCCCCCCTCTTTGAAGATCATATGATCCCTAAATGTAACTAAAGCCCAGCAGTGAGGAGCTGAACTTTACCCTCCTCTGCTGTCACTGCAGACTGGCAGGGTCGCCTACAGAGCAGCGCTGGTAGCTGTTAATGAAGTGATGCTCTTTTTATTTGAGGGTCCCATTTCAGAGGGAAGATTTCAAACACTACCCTGTAACTCAGTTCCAAGGGGCAACACTCGAAAACAAGGGGTAGGGGTGAAAATAAGAAATGGGACTGGACCTAAATGTCTAATATTTCTCATTTTGACATGGTTGTCTTAATATTATAAGATTATTTAACTTATCAATTTTTACTTGTTTTAAAAATGTATTGAGTAAAATTCTCTCTCTCACTATATTGGCATACAATTTTGCTTGTTTCAAGCATATTTATTCAAATAAGCACAGTTTCTGCCAATATAGTAATTCAGTTACTCTAAACAAGTAAAAAATATCTAGAAATGAGTTAATCATTATTATAATTTGGCAAAATGGGAGTGGCCCCGCAAAACTAGGCTGGAACCATTTATCTATTAAACAGTAATTATCAGTTAAAATCATTATCCATTTTGTAAGGGTAAGCATTTGCACATACAGTTGTATGCAAAAGTTTGGGCGCCACAAACTTTCAGATTTTCAAACTGAAAAGAACAGCACTGCTCCCAGTAGAACCCCACCCCCACCCCCCATTAGACCTCACACACCTACAGTACATAAACTGTAAATTCATCACCATACAATACAATATAATCAATACTCCATGTTCAATATAGTATATATATATATATATATAGTATGAAGATTTTTTTGCTTCTTCTATTTGTAATGTTCTTATTGTTAATTCATCACTATTCCCATGTGCAATATAATTAATACTCTGTGTGCAATTTGGGTAAAACTTAAACTGTAAACATTTTTTTTGCTTAAAATTTTGTTTATATTGTTACTTTTTGTAAATAGAGTTCATATTTTTTATCTTAGATTTTTTTTATCTTTAGCGTTCTATTTATTGTCTATGTGGCAATAAGTAACAAACTGTAATCTTGTTAAATAATTAACAAGATTAATTACCTTGTTTGTTAATTCTCTTCTTGTTAGTTCTTTTCTTGAGTGCCCTGCTCTCCCGTTGCTCCTGTAGCACTGCGAATTTCCCCACGGTGGGACTAATAAAGGATTATCTTATCTTAAAATAAATGAACACATCATTTATAGAGAACCCAGATGAATACAGAGGAGAACAGATGAAGAAGGAAACAACAGAACAATTGCTAAATTGTACAGTAAGCTCAGTGCGAGGAAGAAGAGAACTGGGTTCAGGAGTCTTTGGGTTTATTTTTGCTCTTTTTTCATAGTTCTAAAACTTCCAACTCATTAACAAGACATTAATTAGTTAAAACAAGTCCAGGCAGAAATGATCCACACAGAGACCATCAGAATCTGTCCCCATAGCTTAGTCTTTGAACAGGTAAAGGGCATAACGTCCACGTCATGACATACACACTACATAATGAACCTTATCAGCACCGAAATCTTTGGGGAATAAAATCACAAATAGAAACTTGTTAAATAATAATAGTAATCATAATAATAATAACAACAATAATAATTATTCTAATAATAAACTGATCACGCTGTCCTGTCTGATCCACATCCTACGGCCTAAGAACACTCTTCTTAGTTGTTATGCAGACAGCGTGGAGTCCAGAGCAGTTCGGTGAGCGTAGGCGAGAGAAGCTGAAGCAATTACAGCAGTAGGAGTTTAGTTAATGCTCCTTTTAATTACAGCATGAGAGAAAGACTCCAGCAGACTTTCTGATGTCTAACTAGACAGAAAACATTCAAACCAAGTGGAACGGAAATGAGGAGTGAGTGTTAAACAGAACAGGGTCCTGGAGGACCTGCCGAGAGCCCTGTTTTCCCCTCTGACCCTCTGAAGTCAGCTCATGGAGGCCGATGTAATCAGCTCTCACTCTGAGTAAGTTGTGATTAATGAGGTACAAATGGTGCTGTGGCACCTCCAGGCCTGTTAACATCACCAACACTGCTAATACTGCATTCCTAACATCACTGAAACTAACACTACGCCAATACTACTAAGACCGCTGATTAACACTGCTTTCACTATTAAAACTGCTAACATTACAGTGAAGACTACTAATAGAGCTCTGAAGTCATTGTAGTGGGTGTGATGCCAATATTAGGAACGTTTTGTTGAACATTCACTTTTCCTCTGAATCTCAGTGGATCCTCTGAATTCTGAGGTCATTAAGGAGTCAAAATAGCAATATAACGCCGCTAATCACTGAACTGACATCATAAGACTGCCCAGTTAGCAAAATTTGTCTTGTGGACCACATATTTGGCTTTGTTCTGGCCTGATATACGACTGTGTCCTTGGCTGAGTTCTGGCCCAAACACTGTGAAGTGTGTACAACTAAGGATGTGGCCCAAATCTGTCCCAGTCTGGTCCAACTACATTCTTGGTCCATGTTCCTGCCAGAATTGGCCCGTGAATATACACACAAGGTGAAATTCCCTATTCTGGCCCAAATACTTAACATCTGCCCAGTAATCAACCAACAATTGCGTGGGAAAACCGGAATTGGCCCAAAACTGTGTGCTATCTTGGTGACCTCATCAAAATCGCCAACCAGCAGGCTTTGTCCACACTACTGAAAAAACAGCACAGACCAGCACAAAGTCCATGCTGATCTAAACTGGTTTATGCTGGTCTTGTGCAGGTCCGACACACGGCCATGCTGGTTGACCAGCTTACCAGCATCCAAAACACATACGCTGGTTTTGTTGGTGTCCAGTCATGCTGGTCTAAGCTGGATTCTCTAGCAAGGCAGTGGTAGATTGGAGGCTTTGGCCATTATAGGCTGCAGATTGGCTGGTGTTGGTGTCTGACAGTGTTGGAAGTGTAAACACTAATATGTACCTTGTGTCTGTGTGCAGGTGCAGCAGCAGCGTTCTCGGTGGGCTACATGAGGGTGCGGTGGGAGGTCTGGGGGGAGTTTTCTCTGGGTGTGTTCTCCGCTGTTGGAGCAGCATCTGTGTTCTTTATCAGCCTCACCACCAACATCTGGATCTCCTACAGTGGCTACGTCATCTTTAAAGCGTCGTACATGTTCCTCATCACTATCGCCACGTACGTACCACCAACACCGCACCACCAACACCGCACCGGTCACCTCCTCAGCTGATCAGCTGAGACGAGTTTGGTGTCTGAAGTTCGATTCTTTAGTTTTAGCACTGGAGCTACGAGGCTAATGTAGCTAACAAGTAATGTAAGCTTATACCCCACCAATTAGCATGGTGCTAACTGCATAGACATAGATAGATAGACAGACAGACAGACAGACAGACAGATAGATAGATAGATAGATAGATAGACAGACAGACAGACAGACAGACAGATAGATAGATAGATAGATAGATAGATAGATAGGCAGACAGACAGACAGATAGACAGACAGATAGACAGACAGACAGACAGATAGATAGATAGATAGATAGATAGATAGGCAGACGGACTGACAGATAGATAGATAGACAGACAGACAGACAGACAGATAGATAGATAGATAAATAGATAGATAGGCAGACAAACAGACAGACAGATAGATAGACAGACAGACAGACAGACAGACAGATAGATAGATAGATAGATAGATAGATAGATAGATAGATAGATAGGCAGACAAACAGACAGACAGATAGATAGACAGACAGACAGACAGACAGACAGACAGATAGATAGATAGATAGATAGATAGATAGATAGATAGATAGATAGATAGACAGACAGACAGACAGACAGATAGATAGATAGATAGATAGATAGATAGATAGATAGGCAGACAAACAGACAGACAGATAGATAGACAGACAGACAGACAGACAGACAGATAGATAGATAGATAGATAGATAGATAGATAGGCAGACAGACAGACAGATAGACAGACAGATAGATAGACAGACAGACAGAAAGACAGACAGACAGACAGACAGACAGATAGGCAGACAGACAGACAGACAGATAGACAGATAGATAGGCAGACAGACAGACAGACATATAGACAGACAGACAGATAGATAGATAGACAGACAGACAGACAGATAGACAGACAGAGAGATAGACAGACAGACATAAACAGTGAAGCTGATGCCTCTGCATGATTTTCTAAAACCAACATTTTAAATGTAAAATAATGCTTTTTTAATCAATCCAAAGTAAAAGGAGGACCTGCTTATATGTAAGTCATGGCTTTGGGCCCCTAAACTAGCAGAGGACCCTGAGAAAGTCATTTTTACAATGAAAGCGAAAGCAGAGGTCTGTACGCTGTTCTGTACAGCACCAAAAACGGCTCTTCTACTCACCATATACAACACATTCTCCATCAGTCTGAAGAACCATTTCACCATGGAAAGAACCTTTCAAGCATGAAATGGGTCTCTATAAAACCGCCTTTACTAAAGGAGTCTTTTTTTCAGTGTGTATTCTTGCATATGGATATGATTGGGGTGGGCTGGGACCCCCAAACAGGAGGTCGACCCTTTATATGGTTTATTTGCAGTAACTGGTTTGTTCTCTTGTTTTTTGTTTATGCTGAAAGGTTCCAGATAGCCGCTAACCTCTCTATGGAGTGCTACGCCCTGACGTTTGGCATAAACACGTTCATGGCCATCGCTATCCAGACCATCCTCACTGCTATAATAGTGGACGACACGGCTCTGGGGCTGGACATCGTCACTCAGGTAAACAGGGATTAAACATGTGAAGCAATAATCTCATTACAAACTGCTGCACATACATACACACGGTACATACAGAGACAGACAGACAGACGGACAGACAGACGGACAGACAGAAAGACAGACAAACAGAAAGATAGACACACAGACAGATAGACAGACAGACAGACAGAGAGACAGACACAGACAGACAGATATACAGACAGACAGACAAACCGAGAGACAGACACACAGACAGGTAGATAGACAGACAGACAGAGAGAGATAGACAGACAGACAGACAGGCAGGCAGGCAGACAGACAGACAGAGAGATAGACACACAGACAGAAAGACATACAGATAGACAGACAGACAGACAGAGAGATAGGCACACAGACAGACAGACAGATGGACAGACAGACAGACAGAAAGACAGACAAACAGAAAGATAGACACACAGACAGACAGATATACAGACAGACAGAGAAAACCGAGAGACAGACACACAGACAGGTAGATAGACAGACAGAAAGACAGACAAACAGAAAGATAGACACACAGACAGATAGACAGACAGACAGACAGACAGGTAGATAGACAGACAGAAAGACAGACAAACAGAAAGATAGACACACAGACAGATATACAGACAGACAGATAGATACACAGACAGAAAGACATATAGATAGACAGACCGACAGACAGACAGACAGAGAGATAGGCACACAGACAGACAGACAGACCGACAGACAGACAGAGAGATAGACAGACAGAAAGACAGATACAGACATACAGACTGACAGACAGATAGACACAGACAGACAGACAGACAGATAGACAGACAGAGAGATAGACAGACAGACAGAGAGATAGACACAGAGAGATAGACACAGACAGACAGACAGGCAGATAGACAGACATACAGATAGACAGACAAACAGAGAGACAGACATACAGACAGGTAGATAGACAGACAGACAGAGAAATAGACAGACAGACAGACAGGCAGACAGATAGATAGATAGATAGATAGATAGATAGATAGATAGACAGACAGACAGGGAGGGACAAAAATGGACGCTTCTGTAGAATGACCCTTGTACTTGTTGTGTGTATGAAATACTGTCTGTCGTCCAGCTCGTGTATGTGCTCTCACATCCTTGATGTTTTGGTGTTTTTGCACCAGAGAAGCGGCTCGGTTGTGTTTCGTTAAACTGCGTCCTCGTGTTTGTGTAATAACAAAGCTGAAGTGAGTTGAGTTGATCTGAATTGAATCACTGTTACGAGCTCAGTCTGAACTGAACGTTTGGAGGAATTTCAGTGACATCTAGTGGTGATTTATAAGTATTGCAGCATTTGAACATCAGAATTGTTTTTTTAATGGGTAAAGTAAACTCACTTAGAAGTAGCTCTGTAGAGCTGAACAGTCGGGTTCCAGAAGTAAAAATCTCCTTCATAATTACTGTAGGGAATTAGATTTTTTATCCACAAAACAGTTTGTAAACTTATTTTGCATGTTAAACTAAAACAGTCTTTATTATTACAGTGGATATAAAACGTCTACACACCCCTGTTAAAATGCCAGGTTGATGTTAAAAAATCAGACCAAGATGAATCATTTCGGATTTATTTCCACCTTCAATGCTCCCATAATGTGTGCGTTAATGTGAGGGTTAAATTTGGCACAATAGTGACTTTACCAAGAACTGGATGCCCCTCAAAAATTGATGAAAAGACAAGAAGAAAATCGGTCCGGGAGGCTGCCGTGAGGCCTGAGCAGTGCAGACAACAATCTCCCGTATGCCTCATATGTCTGGGCTGTGGGGTCGGGTGGCAAGACGACAAAGAAAAACCTCCAAGCCCGGCTATGTTTTGCCAAAACCCACATCAAGTCTGCCGAAAGTATGTGGGAAACTGTGATACAGTCTGATGAGACCAAGATTGAACTTTTTGGCCATAATTCTAAAAGGTATGTTTGGTGCAAAGCCAACACTGCGCATCACCCACAGTGAAGCCTGGTGGAGGCTGCATTATGCTTTGGGTTGTTTTTCTGCAGCTGGAGCTCCAAATATCAGTCAATTTTGGCACAAAACCTTCAGGCCTCTGCTAAAAAGCTGAAGATGAGGAGGAATTTCACCTTTCAGCAGGACAGTGACCCAAAGCAAACCTCCAAATCAACAAAAGAATGGCCTCGCCAGAAGAAGATCAAAATCTTGGAATGGCCCAGAGCCCAGACCCGAATCCCACTGGAAATCTGTGAGTAGACCTGAGGAGGGCTGTACACAGGAGACGCCCTCGCAATCTGACAGATCTGGAGCGCTTTTATAAGGAAGAGGGCAAAGATTGCCAGGTCGAGATGTGCCATGCTGACAGACTCCTACCCAAAAAGACTGAATGATGTCATAAAGTCAAAGGGAACTTCAACAAAGGATTAGTTTAAGGCTGTGCATATTTATGAAACCACATTATTTTAGTTTAGTTATTTTTGTTTTTCCACCCTAAAAGATTTCAGTTTTTTTTAATGGAATTGTACAGATTATGGGTCACATTGAAGGTGGAAATAAGTCTGAAATGATTCATCTTGGTCTGATTTGTTTACATGACAGAAACCTGGCATTTTAACAACTTTTTATATCCACTGTATGATGTTCACTGTGGTTGGTTGTGTTGTATGAACTGTTTTCTGTTTAATCCTCTACAGTTCATTATTTACGGCGGCTGTTACGGAGCGCTCTCGGTGCTGTTCCTGCTGCGAGGTCTTTACATAGCCTGCACGCATTACTGCAGCTCCAGATCAGAGACAGAGACAGAGACGGGAGAGACCACCCAGCACATAGACACCCCTCAAACAGCAGGGGCAGAAGGACTGTCCACTAAGATGTGACTCAGATTCATTTCTACACTAGAACTCTACCACTCAAAAGTCTCGAGTCACTGATTTCATTCCTATAATTTTATTGAAGACGTGTATAAAATGATTCTACGATGAAAATAATTTCGTACGAGTTTCAGTCAGTTAGTTAGTGAGAAGCTGTAAGAATGAAGAGGTTCTGGAGGAGAACCAGAGCTGTGAGTGATTTAATGATAACTGATAAATCTGTACATCACTGAGAACGAACTGATAAAGAACCTGACACCCACAAAGCCTCATATCTGAGAACCAAATCTCAGCTACGCTCTTAAAAAAGATGATTCTTCAAGGGTTCTTTAATAAAGAAAATGGTTCTAAATAGAGCCATGAACGCTCAAAGAACCCTTTGCATGATTAAAGGGTTCTTTGCATCATGAAATGGTTCTTCATATTGACAACGTGCTGTATATGGTTCTATACAGAACCTTTTAAAAAGGGGCTCTACATAGCACCAAAAAGGGTCCTTGTAGTGTTAAAAGCTAGTACAGAGCCCTGCTGGTGACATCCTGTATAAATAAAAATAACACGTGGCCACGACTTGGTAAGGTGTGGAACGAGATGATTAAGTCAAGGTCACAACTTACTAAGGTGTGGGAACGAGATCCTAATGCATGGCCACAACTCAGTAAGGTGTGGGTATGAGATAATTAAGCCTTCACCGCAGCTTAATTAGGCATGATTTTGTTCCCACGCCTTACTAAGTTGTGGCCATGACTTAATTATCTCGTTTCCACGCCTTACTAAGTCATAGCCACGTATTAGGATCTCGTTCCCACGTGTTAATAAGGCCACGCATTATTTTTATTTATACAGGATGTCACCAGCAAGGCTCCGTAAGCTTGACATCATAACAACAGAAGAACCCTTTTAGGTGCTATACAGAGCCATTTTCAAAATGGTTCTATGTAGAACCATCTACAACACTTTTGTCATCAATCTGAAGAACCATTTCATGATAGAAAGAACCATTTAATCATGCAAAGGGTTCTGTGAGTATTCATGGTTCTGTATAGAACCATTTTCTTTACTAAAGAACCCTTGAAGAACCATCTTTTTTGAGTGTGTATCACTCAAAAGTCTCAAGTCACTGATTTCATTCCTATAATCCAGTTTTATTGAAGACGTGTATAAAATGATTCTACGATGAAAATAATTTCGTACGAGTTTCAGTCGGTTAGTGTGAAGCTGTAAGAATGAAGAGGTTCTGGAGGAGAACCGGAGCTGTGACTGATTTAATGATAACTGCTAAATCTGTACATCACTGAGAACGAACTGATAAAGAACCTGACACCCACAATGCCTCACGTTTGAAAACCGAGAACCAAATCTCAGCTACACTCTTAAAAAAGGATGGTTCTTCAAGGGTTCTTTAATAAAGAAAATGGTTCTAAATAGAGCCAGGAACGCTCAAAGAACCCTTTGCATGATTAAATGGTTCTCTGCATTATGAAATGGCTCTTCAGACTGATGCAGAATGTGCTGTGTAGCACCAAAAAGTGTTCTGCTATTGTTATGATGTTAAGCTTGTAACCATAGTAGAACCCTTTTTGGTGCTGTATAAAACCATCTACAGCACACTCTCCATCAATCTGAAGAACCCTTTCACCATGCAGAGAACCATTTAAGCATGGAAAGTGTTCATGGTATTTTATAGAACCATTTTCTTTATTAAAGAACCCTTGAAGAACCATCTCTTTTTTTGAGTATTTATATGTATTTATTGTGTTCTTGTGACAACAAATTCTGATAAACAGAAAATTATAGCTTATTATTTAATAACACTTCCATTTTTACCATGTAAACTGTGCATTACGTCTTGGTTTGAGTTTTGGTGTTTAGTTTATAGCATTTCAATCTACACTGTATGAGTTATGACTGAATAACAGTTATTATTATGAGAAGTGACCCCAAACTTTTGAGTGGCAGTGTTCGTTATGTTATTAGTATTTACAGTACTGCTTAAATGTCTTAGGCAGCTGTGAAAACTGATTAAAACTGTTTATCTGGGCAGTAATTGTGTTTTATAGCACTAGAATAAACACAAATAAACAAAGACAGTCGTCAGTGTTCAGACTGTGTTGTTTTCAGTGAAGTTATGAATGTGTAGGTCAGAAGAACACAGGGTTGTTTCCTGACATCTCACTGAACTCCAGACAGCGCGCTGATTTGTTCAGTTCCATCAGCTGATTTACTTTAATGAAGTATTAATAAGATAAAGCAGGTGTTGGACAGTAACTGTGAATACTGGACGTCCTCGAGGAGAGATCTGGAAATAGTTAAACACACTCACACACACATTTTATTCCTGATTTTGTTCTAATTTCAGTGTTTATTTGAAAAAATAACTGCTTATTGCCCAGACAAACAGCTTTACAGATCATTTCTCACACTTTTGCACAGTACTGCCGTGATATTCAGTTGTATGTTTGAAGTGAGGTTAACATATTAATAAATGGGTCATTCTACAGAAACGTCCACTTTTCTGTCTCTCCATAGGTGTCACTGGTGTTACTGATCCTCATTGGTGTTCCACATAATAAAGGAACACCAGAGACATTTTAATGAATATGCATTTTACAGAATGGCTGCTACAGAACATCAAACCACATGTTGTCAATCATGGAATATCCACTAAAATATGGAATTTAATCCATTTGTGTTCACAATTTTTTTTCACAATATTTTTTCACAATTATCTCAGAATAAAGAAGGTCACACCAGTGACTTCACCTAAAGAAGGTGTAACTGTTAAAATAACTTGTTGTTTTATTTTAAAATATAAATAAATTGTAACCCTAACATGTTTTTGAAGTGCAATATATCTGTCAAAGCTAGGGACACAAAAATGGATGTTTCTGTAGAATGACTCTAATATATGAAATAGATAATGTGCCATAACTTTTGCACAGGCCATATTGTATGCCCCGCAAGTATGTCAAATTCAGCAAAATAAACCAAAATTGTGTATTAAAATGTGCAGAAGTGTGTCTCTGTAGAGGGTGTGTTAACTAATTCACACTCAAAAGATCAACAACAGCATGGACCAGGGTGCCAAAACTTTTGCATACGGCTGGATAAAGGTGAAAAAATTCTACAGGCTGAGAGACACCTGATTCTATTTTGAAAAAGATCTGTGATATGCTGTGTGACATACTGTGACGTTTCACCATTTATTACTTTGAAAAGCAAATTATTCTTCCAAAATAAAAGTCTCTGTTTTTATTTATTGAATTTTTTTTACATCAGTCTGTTTTAAGTAGACTTTATTCTTACTTTAATATATTTAGCAGATTTTTCCTTTTTTTAAATATAGGAAGTGGGCGCAGTATGAAAACAATGCAAAAGTTTCTAAACAAACCCTTCGCTCTCCAGTCAATACGGCCTGTATATGGAAACTAAGCTGGAAAAACAGCCTGTTTTGAATTCATTGTTTTAGCGACGTCAAAAAAACAACACACACATCTCCGCACATTCAGCCCACTGAGGTTTGGACCCGGCCGCTCACAATGAAGTTATAAGGGGTGTTTCAGCCCCGACCAGAGCCGGTTTATGAGGAGCCTGGCCTCTTCCTGTTTACCCCATTATCAAAAACAGGACTGTAAAACAGCAGAGGGTGCCATACTGCTACTGAGTGCTGATTGGTTAACATTACTGCTACTGAGAGCTGATTGGTTAACATTACTGCTACTGAGAGCTGATTGGTTAACATTACCGCTACTGAGTGCTGATTGGTTAACATTACTGCTACTGAGAGCTGACTGGTTAGCATTACTGCTACTGAGAGCTGACTGGTTAACATTACCGCTACTGAGTGCTGATTGGTTAACATTACTGCTACTGAGTGCTGATTGGTTAACATTACTGCTACTGAGCGCTGATTGGTTAGCATTACTGCTACTGAGAGCTGATTGGTTGCTGCTCTGTGTTCAGGAAATTAATGTATTCTTTTATATTAAAAATGTTTCAGCATTTATAAACTATGATTTTGCTCAAAGGCTCCATACATCAACCCATTCATTTTCGACTCACTCAGTAGCGCCCTCTAATGTCTGAGAAACCCAGAAGAGGTTACGGAGTGATAATTCTCCTCTCTACAAGTTCTCTGCCCGGACTGCTTTTAGAATGAAGTGCAATACAGGGCCAGTCAGAGCAGAGCTCATTTACATATACATTTTTAAAGGCACAGTAACAAAAACAGGCTGTTTATTTATAAAGGACAAAGAGAGGCTGGAAAATGTCACATAGAAGAGAACTATGGCCATCTTAGTTACACAAGTAGTCGCAAAAACGTTACGCAGAATTCCGAAATAAAATACTAGGAAAACATCGGCTATGGGCCCTTTAACGATGGCTCAAATGTGGTTATGGAGAATATTCTTAGTGTGCTGGGTCCTCTGGTTTGGTCCTGTTATTCTTTTAATTTTATTACTGTTTATGACATATGAAAGCTGTACGTATATATGCTCTATATTTTTTTTCATTATTCATGACAAATGCAAATAAAGCTTCATCACTGTGTGCAGATTTGGGATGTAACAGAATACAAGAGTTGCGAATATGTATTGAGAATACAGAAGTATCTGTATTCAGTGCGAGTCACATTTTATAAAGGCAGAATTCAGAATACTAAAGCAACGAGCCACTCAAAGCCGTGGGTTACAGTGATTTTATCATGGGGAAGGGTGTTCTTAGGCACGATGTGAAGCAGAGTAAAACTTCCTTCTCTATGATAAAATCACTGTAACCCACTGCCTCGAGTGGCTTATTGCTTTTATAAAACGGCGGCCAACATAAAATATATTAAAAAACATGTTTTAGATAATCATTTAAGTTATTATTAATAATAATCAACATAACACAACATGGGGGCAGTCGTGGGCTGGAAGTTAGGGAACCAGCCTTGTGACTGGAAGGTCGCCGGTTCGATCCCCTGAGCCGACAGTACGTGACTGTAGTGCCCTTGTGCAAGGCGCCCAACTGCTCCCCAGGTGCCGTGGACAGGGCTGCCCACTGTTCCGGGCAAGTATGCTCATTGCCCCCTAGTGTGTGTGTTCACTAGTGTGTATGTATGTGGGTGTTTCACTGCATGGATGGGTTAAATGCGGAGGTCTAATTCCAATGTGTTCAAACACAGTTGGCTAAAGGTTCATTCATTCATTCGTTCATAAATAAGTATTCCGCCAAGAAATGTAGTTCCTTTAGAGTACAGTATCGTTGCTAAGCAACCATTGACCGCTGAATGAGGAGAAGAATGTTCGGTCACTCTAAACTGCAGACATTTCATGATTTTGAAAACCTTTTTCATATAACAGTGAACATATGATAACACAGCACTGTTTTATTCAGTTTATAAGCACTTTTTGGTCACTAAATCACCACCACGAGTTTCCTGCCAGTCTGACGACGCCGCCTTTCTCACTCTGGGGCTGAATCTCAAACAGCTCCCTGCTCCCTACATAGTGCAGTAAGGAAGGAGTTTAAATACCGACTCCTGCAGCCCAACAGTGCAAAATATCGCTAAATCGGTCATTTGGGATTCATCCACATTCAGACTCGACAGGCAGTGCAGTATCGGACAGCAGAAGCTAGAATTTCTAAACCAACAGTGGGATTGTGGGAGCAGCAGTGAACCAAAGCAGGATATGAGAACCAAAATAATGTTGAGAATTTTAAATAAGCGAAATTTTCATTAAACATATTAATCCCTGCTGAAAAAAAGTGTTTCTGTTGGTTTTCTGATGGTTTTGCAATGTGTTTTGGCTTTTTTAATGGGTTGATTTCACAATGTAAAGGATCCTAATGGTTTCCCAGTGGGATCTAAAGGTGTTCAACAGGAAACTAGTGGCTATTGGAAATCCATAAGCCAATTCCCATTAGAAAGCAAAACCATTAGCTTTTAATCCTAATGGTTTCTAATGGTCCTTTTTTCAGCAGGGATGAAGAAAATGCCACCAGTAACAGCGTGTATTGAATAAAACTCACAACACTTTTCTCCTATGGACTTCATCATCAGCATGCATCCTAAATGTATTCTGATTATGTTCCTTTGTTGGTATGTGTTGTAACTGAATACATTACTGAATATATTCAGGACAGTGTATTCAGCACTCAGCCCAGCTCTGCTCATGTGCTCAGTAACTCTGTTTACACTGTGGATTGACTGTAGCTTTAACAGCTAAACTCAAACACGACTCGGTGCTGCTTCTTGTCTTCATTTGTTCCTCGTATTTATCTCCAATAATGTTTAACGAACCCAAAAATGTGTGTTCCGGTTTCAGACGTTCAGTTTCTGCGAGTATCAAAATAAAGATCTGCTTCTAAACAACGAACGGTCTGCTTTTATTTCCCACCTGTATTCCGACAAACTAACCCACTCGAGTACGGGCGTGTAGACGTAACGGAGGTGACGACACCAACGTAAAATGCCGCGGTGAACTCTGGGAATTGTGGTCCAGCACTGCAATCGCAAACATGCATCTTTTTCTTGTGTGCGATGAGACGACAGTTTGCAAATTATTCACAATAATACAACATCTTATGTGGAATTAATGTAGTAAAAAGCGTTTTATTCGCCGTTGTTTGGGCTCGGTTCGTCATTCTCAACTGATGTTTTGCCTCTTTGTTTACTTTCGTTTTATATGAACCTTCGCCCAGACTATTTTAGGAAGAAGAAATAGCGATGCCGATGTTTCTCTTCCATTTGCGTGCCAAATGAAGTGAGTAAACTTAAGGAGAATGCCACCAAATTTTTTCAAAATTGCTCCACAGTCCAGTGGTTTGATGTGAAATGGTTCAGATGCCTTTACAGTGGTGGTGATAGGAACCAGGGGTCGCCATGACTACAACACAGATATAGACATTTTATTTACTATCCAGAACCACCAGTGAACCTACACGAGTCTTCTGAGTTTATATGGAATGTTGATGATGGAAAATAGTGGAAAATCTGAAATAATACGTTTTCTTTGGGACTATTTTGCCTCACAGCGCCCTGCATGTATCCCTCCACCATGAATGGAGTTTAAGTTCTTAAAACTATCATAAAACAGTGTCTCAGTCATCAGGCAGTGAATTCATAACCATTTCATGTAGGAACTTTCTGTGAGGGAGCTTTTAGAGGTGGACGTCTGGTTCCTATCACCACCACTGTGAACAGTTCTGACTCGGTAAGTTTCTCTAGAACAGAGCGTTTCACACCAAACCACTCTGAACCGCTCTGATTACAGCTTAACCACTTAATTATGTAGACTTTTTTGAAAATGGGTGGAGTTCCCCTTTAGAAACTAAACTCAAACATGTAAGTGCAGCTTACTGACTTCATTTATTCATCATATTTATCTCAAAAAGTGTTAAAAAAAAAACAAAAACAAAAATACACGTTATTTTATTTCTCACCCGTATTCCGCCAATTCAACTCGCCGAGTACGTAGCGGAGGTGACGTCACCGACGTGAAATGCCACACTGAACACTGGGAAATGTGGTCCTTCACTGTAATCGAAACTATGCATCGTTTTTGGGTGTGGTGAGACAAAAGTGCACAATATTCACAAAAAATAAACAACATATGTGGAATTAATATGTGCACGTAGCCGTTTTATTCGCCGTTGTTTTGGATTGGCTTGTCATTCTGTCTCCCTTACAAAAAAGAAGTCCTGTAAGAATTCGAACCTTCATTAGAAGTTCCTGCCGGTAAGAGTCCAGATAAACCTGCAGGATCCGTTTATTAATGCTAAACAAAATTACATTTTTAATTAATTTTAAACATTACCTTACTTTTTAATGAACGCCGTGGAAACGTGAACCCATTAATGTATCTGAACAACTGAATTAAATGTCAAGATATATTCTGAGCATTTATTCTCGTGTTGTCTTACTCCGGCTACTCCAGAAATCCTTCAGAAATTTGCTCACTGAAGAACAATTATGGATTTTTTTCCAAAGTGACCTGCAAGAAATTGTGAAGGAAGATTGAAAAATTTCCGACAGCTGTCCAGCAGGACTGCTTCATGAGTGAGAACGCTAAGAGAATTCTGATGTGCTTCAAAAACTGTTTTTTTAAAACCCCAGGGACGTTTTAATTTGGAAAAATGGGAAAATTCAGTTTTGTGTTGCTCGGTGCCGCTGATCATTGTCAATATATGCTTTGTAGCGCCTTAATGTTGATTTTATACTCAATTAAAAAATAAATAAATAAAAACACTCAGGAAAGTGATCACTGGAAATCCTGTAGGATTATATTCCTGCAGAAACCACCACCACATTTTCAGCAGGAATCCTCTGGGACCTAAATTACAACACGGAAGTAAACAAGGAGGCAAAGCAGCTGTTATTTTGCCTCTTTGTTTACCTTCCTGTTGTAATTGAACCTTCATCCAATCAAGATCACCAAGATGATGCTATAATGTTATTATCACTCTTAGGGAAATATTACATTCATAAATTTCGAGTGATGAAGCAAAAAACCCAGATAACAGATTTTTGTGTAGATTTTGTATTATGTTTAAGTTGAAATTAAAAACAAAAAAGCTGTTTTTACTTCTAGAATTCTATCTGTCAACTTATGCTAACCATGCTTTGATTAATTAATTCATTATGTCAGTTTTAAATTATTTTTTATTTATTTCAGTGTAATTTAAATTAATTTTAAATAATTATTTTAATGAATGATTATCTGCTTTATTGCACATAACTACACATTTGCACTCATATTGCGGTATAGTATATAACATATATAGTGTATTTTCCTAATTTATATATAATCAATGCACAGTAGGAATGTCATTGAACAGTGCAACTGTCTGTTTCTCTGTAGGTCTGACAATAAACTCTTCAATCTAGAATCGCACTAAGTTCCTCCTGTTCTTTTATGTTGTTGTGATAATAATTATTTTTAAATGTATCCTTTTTTATTGGATTTGTAACTCTGTGATCCATACACTCCTTCCTCCAAATGAAACGACCTGTTATGGTGTGAAAGTCAATAAAAAAGAAGAAGGCTTAGTAGCGAAAATGAAAGAAAAAAGCCCCTAGTGAAAAACTACAAGTCCCACAATGCAGCGCGGAGGAGTTGTGTAACTTTCCAGCGTCTTCGAGGCGAAACTGTGCGGCCTGGTCGGTGAAAACTGAGCCGTTAGCCCGGTCCGGTCGTGCAGGCTCCGAGGGATTTTGGACCGGGGCGGGGCCCGGGGAGCAGAATCCGTCCGAAGCTTGGAGTTTGGGAGCTCGGAGCGGAGAAGTTAGAAGCCGAGAAGAAGCGAGGTTAGTGCGGGTTGGACGCGCGGAGGCCCAAAGGCCCAAAACATGTCCTCCTCCTCACAGGCGTCTTCCAGGCGGCAGTGGTGCTACCTGTGCGACCTGCCGAAGATGCCCTGGGCCATGATCTGGGATTTCAGCGAGGCTGTGTGCCGGGGCTGCGTGAATTATGAGGGTGCGGACCGCATCGAGCTGCTGATAGACACGGCCAGGCAGCTGAAGAGGACCCATGTGATGCAGGACGGTAGGTCTCCTGGTCCTCAGCCGAGCGGTAAGCATGGTCCAGGGGTGAAGGATGGAGCTGTAGATGGAGGCAGACCTCCTGGTGAGAGATATGAGAGAGCTAGAGGAGATTATGTCCCTGCTAGGCTCCCAAACGGGCTCCCCAGGCTTGAGGATGGAGGTCCACCTGAGGTGAGCAGGCAGAGCCCCAATGCCAGGAGGACTGGGCTGGTGGGAGCCGTTCCTCCAAACCTGATGGCGCAAGGGCTCGTTGGAGCACCTCATGGCTTGCTGACCGCCGTGCCGGGCCTCGGGAGAGCCGGGAGCGCCCCGCTGACCATTTCCACCCCCATGCTGAGCGAGATAAGTAAGAGGCAGGCCATGGGCATGGGCATGGGTGTTGGGGTGGCGTCTTTCATGAGCTCCGATTTCGAGAAGGAGCTGAAGGAGAAGCAGAGGAATGCCGAAGCCTTGGCTGAGCTGTCCGAAAGTGTCCGGAACCGGGCCGACGACTGGGCCGGGCGCCCCAAAGCGGTCAGGGACACCTTGCTGACGCTGTCCAGCTGCACCCCCTTCAACGTGAGGTTCAAGAAGGACCACGGGCTCGTCGGCAGAGTCTTCGCCTTCGATGCCAAGCTCGGGGTCGAGTTTGAGCTGAAGGTTTTCGTCGAATACCCTTGCGGCTCCGGCCAGGTATTCTCCAGCCTGCTCACGCTGGTCAAGCAGATGTTCCACGACAGCCAGAAGGACACGGGCAAGGTGATCAGCTCTGGCTTCAAATACGTCGAATACGAGAAGAGGCATGGCACTGGAGATTGGCGCCTGCTTTCGGAGCTTCTCAGTGATGGAGTCAGGGCATTTAAAGACCCGCCGACCCCCGATGCCATCCCACAGCCTTACCTGGACGCCAACTGCTCCATGTTACCCACTGCGCTCTGCCACATCGGCCGCCCGGCCCAGCCCCGTCTCCGCCGCCGCAAGGCTTCGCCAGAGCCGGATGGTGTGGATAGGCTGCCGTCAGAGGAGCAGCTGCGCCAGCACTGGCCCCTTGGCACGTACCCAGTCATAGGCGGGCACATTCCTGCCACCTCTATGCCCAGCGCCGGGCAGCCTCCTCCTAGCCTCCAGGAGGGCCTTCCTGGTTCCCATGGCAGTGACCCCTCACCCATCACCGCCCTAATGAGCGTGGCAGACAATGTGGGCACCGCCGGCCAGTCTCCAAAAGATGTGCCGGGCGGTAGTGGTGCCCACTCGTCCTCTGCGGGTCTCCAGAACAGCGCCAGCCCCTCTTCGGCCGGGCAGAGGCGCCTGGCATCACGTAACGGAGAAGCACCGGCCGGGTCTGGAGGGGCAGCGGTCGCCGCAGCGATGCCGACTGCTGGAGGGGGTGATCAGGGGGCTGTGACGGGCAGCGACGCCGCCGGAGCGGGCAGCGTCCCTCTCTGCTGCACCATCTGCCACGAACGGCTGGAGGACACACACTTCGTCCAGTGCCCGTCGGTGCCGGGGCATAAGTTCTGCTTCCCCTGCACCCGAGATTTCATCCGCAGCCAGGGCTCGGGCAGCGAGGTGTACTGCCCCAGCGGAGACAAGTGCCCACTGGTGGGCTCCAACGTGCCCTGGGCATTCATGCAGGGAGAGATATCCACCATCCTGGCTGGAGACGTGAAAGTGAAGAAAGAGAGAGACCCCTAACCTGCGGCAGGTGCACACGCATACATGCATTTATACACTTGTACAAGTGAGCTGATGCGTAGCTGGGAGTAGTGTAATTACAATATGCCATAATCATAATAATGATAAAAATAGTAATAGATAAAAGGTAAATTATTATAATGCAGTCACAATTTGAAAGAGTGCAGTTTTAAAAACAGTCAACATTATTAACAACACTGTCTAAAGGGGAACTCCACCAATTTTTCTAAAACTCCGGTATAATTAAATTATTAAGATTTAAACATTCAGAGTGGTTTGGTGTGAAACGCTCTGTTCTAGAGAAACTTACCGAGTCAGAACTGTTCACAGTGGTGGTGACAGGAACCAGACGTCCACCTCTAAAAGCTCCCACACAGAAAGTTACTACAGGAAATGGTTATGAATTCACTGCCTGATGACTGAGACACTGTTTTATGATAGTTTAGAGAACTTAAACTCCATTCATCGTGGAGGGATACATGCAGGGCGCTGTGAGGCAAAATAGTCTCCAAAGAAAACTTATTATTTCAGATTTTCCACTATTTTCCATCATCAACATTCCATATAAACTCAGAAGACTCGTGTAGGTTCACTGGTGGTTCTGGATAGTAAATAAAATGTCTATATTTGTGTTGTAGTCATGGCGACCCCTGGTTCCTTTCACCACCACTGTAAAGACATCTGAGTCTCTACAGTTAACCATTTCGCAAGGACTGAATTATTCAAAAAATCTGAAAAATTGGTGGAATTCCCCTTTAAGTTTCAAGTGCGGAAATGCAACCTAATAATCCAGAGTTCGTCTGTCCGGTGAAAAAGTGAATATGCTAGTTTTTCTTGGCCAAGAAATCAGACCTGGGCCTTAATTTATAGAAATTATTGCAGTTTAACTTGCTGTCACAACATTGGTGAGAAATAGAAGAGATGGTTCTTCAGAGGTTCTTTAGGCAAAGCAAGACAAGTTTATTTGTGCAGCACCTTTTATACACAGCAGCAATTCAAACAGACAAATAAAAACTTTAGATAATAATACAGCTTATAACATTCCTGAGATGCAGCACCTCCTTTTCATCATTAGAGAAAAACACTTAAACAACAGAGAGGCTTAAATATTTACAAAGAAATGCAACTGTGATTATACTCTAGTCATTTCCAGCTCTCTGAGTGAGGAAGAGCACCAGAATAGCAGCTGTAACTGAAAAAAATCCTAGCTTGGAGTGATACCAACCTCTAAACGCATGCTAGCAACTTTTAGAACCTCCAAAGAGTTGGTGAAGCTTAGGAGAACATTTATATGTCATATGAATCAAAAAAAAAATTAAAAAGCTCAAGACAATAAAATAGAAAATAAAATAAAAAAAGAAATGAAAATAGTGATTAAGATAAAAACGCAGTGAAATTTTTAAAGGAATGAGCTAAAGATAATAGACAATAAAGTAGAAAATAAGGAATTAAAAGAAATTAAAATTGTGATTAATGTAAAAATGCAGTGAAATTCTAAAGTGCTGAAGATAAAACACAATAAAATAGACTAAAAAAATAAAATGGTGATTAAATTAGTGTCTGGTGCCAATCTGACCTCATCTCGGAGTTTTGTTACAGCAGATGGCAGCATAATGTAAAGACAGCGGTTCTACATAGAACTGTGAACCCTCAGAGAACCCTTCGCCTGGTGAAACTGTTCTTCAGATTGATAGAGAATGTGTCATATGGTTCTGTAGAGCACCAAAAAGGGTTCTGCTATTGTTACGATGTGAAGCTTGAACCCTTTTCAAAAAGGTTCTACATAGAACCATATGCAACACGTTCTCCATCAACCTGAAGAACAGTTTCACCATGCAAAGAACCATGTAAGCACACGAAGGGTTCTCTGAGTGTTCATGGTTCTGTATAGAACCATAGTGTTTACTGAAGAACCCTTAAAGAACCAAGTGTGCTGTTATGTATATATTAATATAATAATAGTATTATAATGCTAAGTATAATTTAAACTGTTTCATACCAGTTTGAATTGCCACATAATCTATAAATCAAGTTGCTTTTTTATTATTAGTTGTTTATTTATTAACAATAATCATTTTTAAGGAGTGCAAACATCTGACCTCAGATTTATTCATGATTTGTTTTGATTTGATTATATTGTTACAACACAAATGTAACTGGAGGAAAGATTTACACAGTAGTCGAATATAAACAAACAAAATAAACAGTACAGTAAGATTTTTTCCTCAGACTTTTATTTTTGAAAATTTTATTTTGGCCAAAACTGAGCACATACTTCAAACTGTACACAGAACATACACATTATAATAGATTATAATCAATGCTAACATTATCATGCAGATGCAGTTCATGATTCTCCATTTTATACACTTTATTCATTTAAAAACAAAGAAATCAAAACAAAAAAACCTTTTAACTCCTTTAAAAAGATATTTTACTGTTTAAACGCTCCTCACACTGTGTGATCACTGTTGAATGGTCTGGTAGAAATTCAGTAAATGTTTAATGTTTTTAAGCCACATTAAAAGCATTTAATAATGTTTCTTTATGTTTTTGTTTATATTTCTGTTTGTGTTTTTCAGAGCTGCTCTGTTTCACAGACACTGCAGTTCTGAACCCCAAAGACCGGCCGACGCCACAGCACTGAAGAGGCGACTGTTCACCCGCACACGTTCTCTTCCTCCATCCCTCCATCCCTCTCTCTTTATCCTCCATCCCTCTCTTTTTCCTCTCTACATCCCTCTCTTTCCTATCTTTATCCTCCATCCCTCTTTCCTCTTCACATCCCTTTCTTTTTTCCTCTATCCATCCCTCTCCTCTCTACACCCTTCTCTTTCCTCTCTTTGTCCTCCAACCCTCTTTCTTTCCTCTCTTCATCCCTCTCTTTCCTCTCTCTATTCCCTTCTCTTTGTCCTCCATCCCTCTCACCTTATCTTTCATCCCTTTTTCATTGTCCTCCATCCTTTTCTTTTTATCCTCCATCCCTCTCTCTCATTACTTTTAATCCTTCTCTCTTTTCTTCCTCTATCCTCCCATCCCTTTTTCTGTCCTCCCTCTACTCTCAGATCACTCTTTTTTTTTTTCTCTCCATCCCTCTTTATTTCCTCGCTCTATCTTCCCATTCTTTTCTTTTCTTTTTTTTGTCTTCCATCACTTGTTCCTCTCTCCATTCCACTCTCTTTCCTCCCATCTCTCTCTCTCCTCTATCTATCCTCCCGTCTTTTTCTTTCCCACTTTTTATTCTCCCATCCTTCTAGTGTTCCTCTCTGAACTCTTTATTCTTCTTTCTTTCTTTTCTCTCTCTCTCTCTCTCTCTCTCTCCGCTCTGCTGGCCACGGTAAAGGAGAATCCAGCCATGTTTGTTGGAGACGCCCCATTTAAAGTCCTTCTGCAGTACAATCAGTTCCGTCTGTTGACTCCAACAGAGTTTATATTTCGCCCCAATGTGTAACAGTGCTTTAAAGTAGAGCTTTTTAATTCAAATTTTGGGTGATGAACCTAATTGTATTTGCCCTTAGTGTTAATCACACTATGAAACACCTTAAAGGGGGATCACACCGATTTTTCCAAAAAAAGTTTCTCCACAGTCCAGTGTGTGAGATGTAATCAGAGTGGTTTGGTGTAAAGTGGTTCAGATGTCTTTACGTTGGTGGTGATAGGAACCAGAGGTCGCCATGACTACAACACAAAAATAAATCTGAAATAATACATTCAGTAAAGAAAATGGCTTTATGTAGAACCATAAACACTCAAAGAACCCCTTACATGACTAAAGCGTTCTTTGCATTGTGAAAGGGTTCTTCAGATTGATGGAGAATGTGTTGTATATGGTTCTACATAGCACCAAAAAGAGTTCTTCTGTTGTTTACGACTGGAAGAACCACGTCACAGTTGCACCATTTATTCATGGAATGGTTCTATATAGAACCATGAACACTCAAGGAACCATTTACATGCTCGAATGGTTCTTTGCATGGTGACGTGGTTGTCATGATGATGTATATGGTTCCGTTAAGCACCAAAAAGGCTTCTTCTGTTATATGTGAGCTTGACACAACAACAAGAGAAGATCCTTTTTGGTGCTATGTAGAACCATATGCCACACCTCAATCTGAAGAACCATTTCACCATGCAAAGGACTATTTAGCCATGAAATGGTTCTATATAGAACGATGAACACTCAAAGAATCATTTGGATGCTTAACTGGTTCTTTGGATGGTGAAGTCGTTCTTCAGATTGATATGTTGTACCTGGTTCTATATAGCATGAAAATGGTTCTTCTGTTGTTACAGCGAAAAGCTTGTATTAAATAAAAAGTTTTCAAAAAGGTTCTATATAAAAACATATACTCAAAAAGTGGTATATGGTTCTTTTATTGTTACAGGCTTGACATTGTAATAATAGAAGAACACTTTAATCATGCAAAGGGTTCTTTGAGTGTTCATAGTTCTGTACTGAACAAATTTCTTTACTAAATAATCCTCGAACCGTCATTTTAAAGAGTGAGATCAGAGCATTTCACACCAAACCTCTCTGAATGACTTTGAAAAATGGGTGGTGTTCCCCCTCAGACATAGCGTAAGATGAATGATGACATCTCTGAATGTCCTGAACACCAGACAGATATAGATTGTACAGCAGGATTGTTTTCCAGGCCTTCACGGCCGCAATCACAGCACTGTACACGAACACACTTTTTGTATTGTTATTGCAAATGCTGCACACACCTCCAGTAGTTTTGGAAATTAAAAGTGCTCAGAGTTCGTTTGAAAGCGCTTAACTATGCCCATTCGAAGCTTAACCCAGCATGTATAGAAAACTCTCTTTATATTTTATACTCTATGTAGATTGTAAGAAATACTCCCTTTCAATGGTTATAGATGTGCAATCTCTAGATTTTATACCGTATTGCTTTATGTACCACTAAGTATCTGAATGAACAGAAAAACCAAAGATAGACATGCCGGATTAAAACAATTGTATCATATGATGCTTTAGCATATATTTTTGTGGTAAAAGTAATAGCTTTCATTAAAATATCGGCGCCATATACGGGGAATGGTTCACGTTGGGAATCGTATATATTTAAGCCTGTCTGGGTGAAAACAAAGTACATTTTTATTAAAGTGTTAGCAGATCACTATATTTTGTATTGTAACCCTGTTCTAAGTTGTCGGGAGGCGGTGAGACGCGGAAGAACGTTTCTGTTTTCTACAGTTATATGGTCCAGATTTTTTTTTCATCCTTACATGTCAATGATGTATAACGAGTAATACGAGAGTCCACCTCTGAAGTTTTTACATGTTCAGTTCAGTTCTGTTATTGTTTTTAGCTTTCACCTCTTTCATCCTGTTTAACAAATAGAAAATTATCTGAATGACTATGTATGTAAACACGTAAACAAACGTACTGTTCTGTAAGACCTTTGTTTAAAATTGGCTTCTATGTTATCGCTCAAATTGTATTTAAATTAAAAGATTGACCTGCTTTTCACAAGTGTTCAGATCTCTTAAGTGTCCGGAATCAGATAAAAACATACATTCAAATCCCTGCTGTCGGAAGAAAACCTCGTATCTCCAAAATGGTAACTTTACAGGAGAAGGAAAAAACTTCCTCTACTTTTAATGTAAGTTAGTGGAACCAGAATTTTTCCTAGTCATTTTGGGCCGTTTCTTTTGGTCCATTCATCATGAAATTTACACACAATGTAAAGAGCAATAGGCATTTTCACATTATGTCAAAAACTAAAAAACGACAAAAATGGAGATATAAGGTTGTCTTCCAACAGCAGTGAAATGTGCATATTTGTCAATCATTCTGTTTTAGCACTGGAGCTAAAGGCGAATGTACACACTTAGATGGTTCTTCAAGGGTTCTTTAGTGAAAGTGAGTTCTAATCATAATCATGAGCTCTGTATAGACCCATTTAATGCTTCAGTGGTTCTTTGCATGGTGAAATATTCTTCAGATTGATGAAGAATGTGTTGCAATTGGTTTTACATAGAACCTTTTTGAAAATGGTTCTATATAGCACCAAAATGGGTTTTCCTGTAGTTTCAGTGTCAAACTCGTAACAATAGAAGAAACCTTTTTGATGCTGTACAGAACCATATACAGCACATTTTCCATCAATCTGAAAAACGTTTTACCATTCAGAGAACAATTTGAGCATGCAAATGGCTCTATGTAGAACTCATGGTTCTAAACAAAACCTTTACCTTTACTAAAGAACCCTTGAGGAACCATCTCAAGAGAACACAATGTAGTAAATGTAGGTTTGTATATAAAGTTATGGCTGCTCTGTGTTGCTGTGCACCATTTCACCATTTATATAAGTAGATGGTTCTTTAAGGTCTTCATGGTTCTGTCTTCCCAAGTTTGTTCTTGAGAAAGGTTCTAAGAAAAGGTGCGTCACATTCATGTTCTTAAAGCAGAACTGTTCTCACCTTTGTACTCTTGAGTGTGTGTAGATTCTGTTCTTACCTCAGAACAAATCTCAAATAAAACATTGGTGAATGCTAGAATCTTCGTCAAAACTGCTTAATTGGGTTTCAAAAAGAAATTTCTTCTTAAGAACGGTTGGAGAACGAGGCTTATTGGCTTTACAGACCCCTTGAAGAACCATCTTTCTCGATAGTGTAGCTAACAAGTAATGGACGCTAGTACCTCACCAATTAGCATTGTGCTAACTGCGTTCATGAGGCGTATGTGGTTTGTGGCGCTGTTAGCCGTCCTGTTCATAAAGATGGACAGAATTCCGGTTGTTATTGTTTTTAGCTATGCTTATGTACTTTAGTCCATGTTTATAGATAACAGGGAGTCATACAGAGTCAGAAACCACAGAATCAAGACTATTAGAGAGACTAAACACCTCCACACGGTTTGAGGCTGATGTGGTGATTTAGCCCTGCAGTTAGCACCATGCTAGTTGTGGGGTAAGTTAGCTTGTTAGCTACACTCTTAAAGATGAACCGACTTAGGCAGTTGTAACGAATCCAATACAACAAATAATCTCACTAACAAAACATGAGGTTTGTCTGAGAGGAAATAAAATATATTATTACAGGGTCCACATGTCATTTCCCTCATAAAATAAGCAGAATAATCATGAACATGAACTGTGAGTTCATTTTATGGCCTCAAATCTAAGACATGCTCACGTTAAAGCCTGTGGGTGATGTGTTCAAAGGGGAATTCCACTGATTTTCCATATTTTCTGCCTAATTTAGTGTGTGAGATACTTCCCCCCAGCATGGTTCAGATGTCTTTACAGTGGTGGTGATAGGAACCAGGGGTCGCCATGACTACAACACAAATATAGACATTTTATTTACTATCCAGAACCACCAGTGAACCTACACGAGTCTTCTGAGCTTATATGGGATGTTGATGATGGAAAATAGTGGAAAATCTGAAATAATAAGTTTTCTTTGGCCACATAACACCCTACATGTATCCCTCTACCATAAATGGAGTTTGGTCCAAAGTCTTGTCTAAACCGTCATAAAACAGTGTCTCAGTCATCAGGCAGTGAATTCATAACCATTTCCTGTAGTAACTTTCTGTGTGGGAGCTTTTAGAGGTGGACGTCTGGTTCCTATCACCACCACTGTGAACAGTTCTGACTCGGTAAGTTTCTCTAGAACGGAGCGTTTCACACCAAACCACTCTGAACCGCTCTGATTACATCTCAACCATTTAATTATGATTTACAAAAAACAGCTTGTTTGTGCTCCTTTTGTCTCCATTATAAGTAGTTTTTGTGCTGATACTCTTGCACTTCTACTCAAGTTTCTAAAAAGGCACTTGAACTCTTCACTGTATGGTGTGTTCAGGATGCTCTGCACACCTCTGGTCATTTCACACTGAGAGAGATTCTGACCTGGAGACCTAAATTCTCAGTGTGACTAAAACTGCTGTTACCGTTTTTAGTCAGCAGATGGCGCCATTGCACCAGTGAATCAGAATCGCAATGTTTATTCGCAAAACTACAGGCGTGCTTTTATTTGAATGTTTTTATTATAAAAACTAAGATATAAAACAGGTGATATTACTCTGTAAATGTGTAGAACAGATTTACAGTGACTAGTTGCATTATAGACAGCACGTGCAGCAAATGGTGTATACAGTTACATTACAGTATCCATAGTGTGTACAAACATAAATATGAAAATATGTACCCTCTTTAAAAAGATGGTTCTTCAAGGGTTCTTTAGTAAAGAGAAGCACGAGTTCTATATAGAACCATTTGCATGCTTAAAAGGCTCTTTGCATGGTGACATGGTTCCTTAGATTGATGGAGAATGTGTTGTACATGGTTCTACATAGCACTAAAAAGGGTTCTATTGTTACGATGTCAAACTTGTATACAATATCAGAACCCCATTTTGGTGCTATATAGAACCATATACAACACATTCTCCATCAATCTGAAGAACGATGTCACCATGCAAAGAGCCTTTTAAGCATGCAAATGGATCTATATAGAACTCGTGCTTCTCTTTACTAAAGAACCGTGTTTTTTAGAGAGCGCACTGTCACAAACGCAGGTGTGTATCAGTGAAGTTGAGACTGACCGCTCAGTGGGTGAGGGTGAGTGTGGAGCTCGTGCAGGCCTCCTGCTGGACCTGCTGCCCGTCCATTAGTCTGACCCATCACTGCTGTTGTTCTCTGATGATTGAGGTGTTAATGACCTGCAGCTCCAGGAGAAGAGCCTCTGCCGCTGGAGAGGAAGAGGCTCATTAAGCAGCCTCTCAATCCTCCGCTCACGCGATGTGGGCGCGCACGCGCTGGCCAGGTTACAGCCAGATGTCCGCTTTTGTTTATTATGGCGCGCGCAGGACCGTGTGACCCCAGTCAGAAAGTCCTGCAGCGCGCGCACTGGATGCTAAACCGTGAGACACAGTGCAGTGCTAACGCCTTTAGAGCGAGCTGGCTTTAAAAGTGTTAGTTGGCCTGTTAGCTACAGAGAGACTCTGAACATACTTACTTACTTACTTACTTACTTATTTACTTACATACTTACATACTTACTTGCTTATTTACTTATTTACTTACATACTTTCTTACTTATTTACTTACTTATTTACTTACATACTTATTACTTATGTATTTACTTACATACTTACTTATTACTTACTTATTACTTACTTACATACTTACATACTTACGTATTTACTTACATACTTATTACTTACTTACTTACTTATTACTTACTTACTTACTTACTCACTTACTTATTTATTTATTTATTTATTTTCTGTATTCTGGTAGATTTTATTTGTCTAGCTAGATTGATAGAGAGACAGACAGACAGCTAGATAGACATACACACAGACAAACAAACAGATAAATAGATAGATAGACAGACAGACAGACAGATAGTTAGATAGATAGATAGATAGATAGATAGATAGATAGATAGACAGATAAATAGGCAGACCGATAGACAAATAGACAGACACTTCACTTCTGCTCTTTTCAGGCTGAAGTCGTTTTTATACTCGTCAGCTTCGTAGTCGTAAGTTTCCGCTCCACCTTAAAAGCAGTCTATCTTTTTCGATTTTCCGCCCCACCTGAATGCAGCTGCTGCAGCGTTTAAGGTGGATCGGAAAGCCCGAGTGAGAATCTTCAGCCTCAGCTGCGCCTTTTTCAGTCAGCGAGCCGCGCGCATCCATATGAAAAGCGCAGTGAAGTTCAGTTGCGCCGGGATGTGTATTTCCCCCTCTGCACGCGCTAATCGCCACTCCATTACACCCACATTACTGCCTTTTGCGAGGAGGTTCAAACAGGGCCTGCACTGGGGCTCGGGGGGAGGGAGGGGGGCGTAAAGGAGAGTCAGCGCTGCTCTGGAAAAGAGCTCCATATCCAGCCCGCGTGCGTAATGGATATGCGTAAAACTGTTAGGCGCATGCTTGTGCCTGCATTACGCACCTATACACTATGCAGAGGCTGCACACCAGGCGCCCCGCATGACCCCACACAGCGCGCGGGGGTCTCAGCCTTTCTCCCTCTGCGACCCCCCCCAGCTAATCCTGTCGACCCCCTGTGATCTCATCAATTCCATGGCCATTCATTAGCCATTAGGAAACGCATTGAGATTCAGATGGGTCAGTCTGCGCCTCGCGGTCTGATGTGGATTCAGGAGGACCCACACACACACACACACACACACGCGGGAAGCAGCTCACTTGTTAGACTTTTTAACTGTATATTGCAGTGAAGTATTCAATTAGAGCTTTAATGTAAATACAGGCTGACTGTGGATCAAATACACACTTGTTGCTGGTGAACTGTGAGTCATTTCAGACAGACAACATGGATTTGCTGAGTATTTTCAAACCATCATACTTTTTCTTCTACCCAAGTATATTAATGAGTAAAGGAATCTACTTTTTACTCTGTGATGTTTTCGCCGTTTATTTGGTTACTAATTCCTTTAGTTTAACTGTTTATTGTTTTGTTGTTGACAACGTCTGTACTGTATTGTGATT